ACAGAATGCCATTTACAGTAAGTACTATATATACACACAGAATGTCATTCACAGTAAGTACTATATATATACACGAATGTCATTTACAGTAAGTACTATATATACACACAGAATGGCATTTCTAGTAAGTACGATATATATACACAGTGTCATTTATAGTAAGTACTATATATATATACACAGAATGTCATATATAGTAAGTACTATATATATACACACAGAATGTCATTTATAGTAAGTACTATATATATACACAGTGTCATTTATAGTATGTACTATATATATACACAGAATGTCATTTATAGTATGTACTATATATATACACAGAATGTCATTTATAGTATGTACTATATATATACACAGAATGTCATTTATAGTAAGTCCTATATATATACACAGAATGTCATTTCTAGTAAGTACTATATATATACAAAGTGTCATTTATAGTAAGTACTATATATATATACACAGAATGTCATTTATAGTAAGTACTATATATATATACACAGAATGTCATATATAGTAAGTACTATATATATACACACAGAATGTCATTTATAGTAAGTACTATATATATACACAGAATGTCATTTATAGTAAGTACTATATATACACACACAAAATGTCATTGATAGTAAGTACTATATATACACACAGAATGTCATTTATAGTAAGTACTATATATATACACATAATGTCATTTTTAGTAAGTACTATATATACACACAGAATGTCATTTATAGTAAGTACTATATATACACACAGAATGTCATTTACAGTAAGTACTATATATACACACAGAATGTCATTTCTAGTAAGTACTATATATACACACACACAGAATGTCATTTCTAGTAAGTATTATATATATACACAGAATGTTATTTATAGTAAATACTATATATATACAGAATGTCATTTACAGTAAGTACTATATATATACAGAATGTCATTTATCGTAAGGACTATATATACACACAGAATGTCATTTCTAGTAAGGACTATATATATACACACAGAATGTCATTTATAGTAAGTACTATATATACACACAGAATGTCATTTACAGTAAGTACTATATATACACACAGAATGTCATTTCTAGTAATTATATAAGTACTATATATATACACAGAATGTCATTTACAGTAAGTACTATATATATACAGAATGTCATTTATAGTAAGTACTATATATACACACAGAATGTCATTTATAGTAAGTACTATATATACACAGTGTCATTTATAGTAAGTACTATATATATACAGAATGTATCAAAGCATTTGTTTGTTGCATTTTTTAAAATTCAAGTTGCATAAATAAACAGATCGTGTAACTTTTACTTAAAAGTAGCTAGAAGTTGCCCTCTGACTGATTTTGAAGCGTAATTATTTTATATAATACATTTTATAATATATCAATGATTATGTATGCAAATTTAACACAGATAATGTTAGAAACATCACCCGAAAGAATGGAATAACATTGATTGTGACCAATACTTTCAAGTTATAGAATTGTATCGAGGAAAGCATTGTGAAATAAGACTGTAACCGCGGCATTGAACCAACTAGCTATAGCTAGGTTTCGCTTATTTATTTACAGGGGAAATAACTCTTGCAAACAACTTATTTGAGCGTCGGGTCGCTTCTTATGTGTGATGTTGTAGTTGAGTTTAGCCAATAAACTGTCTTCATATGATAGAGGTACTCAAGGGCGAAGACTATAGTATTTTTTAATTGATCGATCATTCGGCTGCCTATTGTTAAAAGAAGAAGAAAGTCAAACCAAACATCATAATAGGTCCCGTATCAAACGTCGATCTGAAAGAGAAGACAGTGTCAACAGCGTTTGGTCTCACAGTCGCACCCTTACCAACGGAGTGACAAGCAGTAACACAAATCTATGAAAAAGTTCCGATATTTCTTCACGTTATTTCCATAATTATGTGACATACCACTTGATGTGTTACGGTAAACACAAGATCATGCGATTCGTCATTGTATGTTCAGCAATGTAAAGAAACGTTATTTGATTGCATAGATTGATTGGTTTTACGTCCGCCTCACTACCGAGTAGCTCGGTTATCCAGCAGGCGAATTTTTGCATACGATCTCGACATTCTTTATCAATAACCAAGTCTGCCAAATATCACACAATTTGAAACAAATGTTAGATTTTACTACTATATAGACTCTTGTAAATAGATTATCCGCAAGTACTTTAATAACACGTTTTAGTAAATATGGTTTATGTTTATTTAAATTTCTTTCAACAATTTCAACAATAACCCTTTTAACAGAACTCGGCGTACGATTTGTTATACGATGGAGTGTAGCGAAACGTCTTTACCTTTCTTAGATGCTTTAGTTCAACTAGATTCAAATAAGGTTACAACGGATTTATGTTGTAAGGCTACAGATGCACATAATTATCTAAAATTTTACTTTAACCATAGTAAACACACTGAAGTTATTATTCCTTTTAATCTTGCCTCACGGATTGCCCCTATCGTCAGTGACCAACAAGCTCAAATTGCTAGACACAGTCAACTAAAGCAATACCTTAAAGTTCAATGTTATCCTACTGAGATAATAGAACATGGCATAAAGAAAGCTTTTGAAAAGGGACCCTTTACGGGATTCTCGTCTGCAAAAACTAAAGGATGGATCAAAGTTAGTTCCTTTTGTTTCTACTTTCAATCCACGGAATTTTAATGTTTCCTGTGACAAATGTGAAGAGTTAAAGCAAAGTAGCAGGCGTATGAGAAACATTTTGAATAAACATGCTATTTTACATTGAAGACGCCAACCAAAGAACTTGAAATGTATGTTGACAAGTATCCAACTGTAGGACACCAATATGTGGTACATGTCCCATGAATATCGAATGTAATACTTTCATTTTCAAGAATGGTTTGAAATTTACTGTGAAGGTTAATATGGATTGTGAATCAAAAAATGTAATTTATGCAATAGTTTGTTCTAAATGTGGTGATTTTTTACATTTGATTGGTCTCGGGTAAAACTAAAATACTGACCATTCGCTATGATGGTACCTGTCGTTAGAAGATTACAGAAGAGCGACACTAAACTTAACAGTCGGCTAATTGTACCATTACGCTGCCGCAGGATTCTTTTAAGTTATTGGAGACCGGAGCAAGTTCGGCCCATTTTTTATTAAAATTATTCTGGACAGTTTTGCATTTGTTCACATTTCTGTGTATATACTCCATTCGGAAGAGAAATTCCAAGCATTTTATAAAAAAAAGATGAAAAATCCATTTAACATTTTCTGATCGAAGATTGGTTGGCTAAACGTCAAGTTCGGACAGGCAGTCTGGAGAAAGTTCGGTCCACGTAGGAACCAGTATAATTATGACGTTATAAAGCATACAACGCCAGGTTTCCCCGATCCGATTAAAATCATCTGTTACATGGCTCCGCCTGAACAGGCGTAGTACGAAGTTAACGAAGCCATGTAACATATGATTTTAATCAGATTGAGGTTTCCCCAGACAACTTCACGACTTGTTTTGTATTGCATGCTCCCATCCTCGATATCTAGGGGTTACGCTCATCTACGCTCTCTACCTACGCTCACCGTTACCCCTAGATATTGGGGATGGGCCGAACTTGCCCCGGTATCATGGACCGGACCTGCCCCAAATTTATATATGAATAGATTCGTATATAACAGCAATTGATACAAGAGTCAATAACTGTTAGGCTTTTACCATCATATTCAATAATGTGAAGTTGTCTGTGTGTTGCATGTATGGTTCACAAAACTAGAAAGAAGTGATTTTCTTTCTACTCCCCGATATCTTGAAGTTACTCTCTCCCTTTCAGTAATGTTAAACTTGAGTTTACTTTGCCACTTATTCGTGTGAATGTTTCGCCCAGCCAACTAAACTGCGAAGATCCTCAAAGTTATTGGAACTCTAAAAGAGGAGGATTTCCATCATTTTCTTCATTTGTTATGAATACAGAGAACAAAGGAAACCTTAGCTTCTCCGTGAAAGTGAAAACGTAACGTAACAGGTAATGTAGATATACTCTTGCATACCGAACGATGTATCGTAGACATACTAAATAAGGTTCACTAAAACTTATTAATATTTCTATTATATGTATATAAAAATATATATATTTAAATTCTTTATTTTAATTTAATTTTATTTCAATCGGTATCATATCCTTATCCCCCAACCTCTATCTCCTCTCTCTTGTTCATCCGAATACAGTTGTATTTCATTTGTGAATCCGTCTGTATTTCTATTGAATGTCTTTCCATGAAATATGCAAGCTGAGTTAATGTCTGCCTGTCAGTCTGTCTGAAATTATGATTGTGTCGATTGCTTGTCTGTCTCTTTGTGCTAACCATCTTTCATTGCATATATATATAATATTTTTCACACAGGGAAAGGACGTCAATAATGTTCATGTAACTCTTGCCCAACTCGCCTTTCCTACATGTATGGCAATGAGATATGTTTTAACAAAAAAAAATCAAAAAAAAATCAGGGTTAGCCGGACTTACCCCGGTCTCACAAGACAAGAATTTGTTACAGCTCTTTATTTGGACTTAAACCACGGAATTATATTAAGAGTAATTTTATATGTTTTAGGGGATTCGATCGACTTTCGGTAAAAATGACTTACAGAAAGTCGTTCTAAATCCCTAAAACATGTTAAATTACTCTGAACATCTTAATTGGTTTAGATCCAAATATAGCTCAGCTGCTGTAACAAATTATCAGGTCCCTGTCGTCTCACCTACCGCTTGCAGTAAGTTCCACCACGAGTCCCGGAATTGGACTAATCCTATTTTATATCCATACACCTTTGACAGTTTTAGTCATGCCAATATAGGAAAGCGATATAACATATATTTTCCAACACACCCTCTGGACTGTATTCCGGATGATAAATCCAGACTGTTATTTTATTATTACATACGCACATGTACATCCGGCGAGTCTCGATTTCGAGTTGAGGGGGAAATACAACTTCCGTTTAATCCTGGGACGAACTAGTGTCTACAGACTAAGTTTATACTGGTTTCAACACTTGAATAAGTATGTAGACATGAAGAAGAGAACTGTTAGTGGCAATGAGACGTCGTCAAGACAGTTACATCGCCGTCAAACTAGGTCAAATGCTAATTCTAAACAGACACATGTCGAACACGACCAGGACAAACGTCACAAAGTTCGACTAGCCGACATACAGGAATCGCCAACTAAGAAGTCACCCGAAACAAATTCGTCTTATAGTAAGGAATTGATCTAAGCCTTTCAAAATTCAATATACAATCGATAAGGATAGACTGTTTCGTAAACATGACTCGTCTTTTCGTCTTTCAACCTTGCAATGTAGGGACCTGAGAATTTGTTTTAAGCATATAGCTAATACCTGTCCTATAAACTTAAACCTTAATTGATGTGTTCAGGGGTTGACCACTCCCTAAGATAAGATGGTAGATTTAAGCCCGAGTTTACTCTGACCCTAACACCAGTTTTAGACATTTTGACATGTAGATGTCTGGTGTCTAACATATTTGATTGGTTTAAGGTCGAAAAACCCTGACCAATGGCTTTGCCGATACCTTCAGATTACAGAGGAGGGACACCTGACTTCAAAGCCTGTCAATTTTTATGATTATATTGTCCAAGTGTCGCTTGTTTCCTGGCAGCTGTGATCGCTAATGTGCAGAGTCATTTCTACTATGTGCAATCAAGTATGTGCTTCAGACCACTCACTCTACCAAGAATCACGTTGCCATCCCCAGCATTAGCGGATAAAGGAGTGCAAAGTCTGATAGTATTAGTTGTCATCCTTCCGGTGACACGTTGGTTTTCCTCCACCACGAAAAGGAATTTGTTCCCCTAGCGGCATTGTAATAAAACCTCTACAGAGCTTACATGAGCCAGAGTTTCATCTGGCCCTGACACCAGACCAGAACGATTTCTGGTGTACAGCCAGACAGTCATTTTTTTTACATTTCTGCCCTTCTAAATTCTAGAAATTTAAGTGGTTACTATCTCTTGTAGATGATGCTTGGTCCTTGATGTTCATCAAATAATAATCGTTATTTAATGTCATTTACATAGTCAACAAACATATTAGTGGCCTAATTAGCCAAAGTTTCCTCTGGCCCTGACACCAGACTAAGACATTTTGACAGATATATGTCTGGTGTGGGGCCAGAGTGCACTTCTATATAAAAACGTGGAATTCGCCAACACCATTGGGAAAATGGCATTGGAGAGTTTTGAGGTGCTGACAACAAAAATCTACTATGACACAACACATACCTCCTCACATATATCGATAAATGGGTTTATAAATTGGTGATAATAAGAGGGGATTAGGATCAATAAATGTTTTATTTATAGATATATGTGAGGCATGTGTTGTGTCATGGTTAATTTTTGTTGTCAACACCTCAAAAATCTCTGATACAAAACCGTGTCAAAGATTTCCACGTTTTCTTATAGAGGTGCGCTCAACACCAGACATCCATCTGTTAAAAGTGTTAGTCTGGAGTAAGGGCCAGAGGAAACTCGGGCTCATGCAGCTTATGTTTAATTTGCTGTTGACTATTTGTTAACAACCTAAAATAGAGATTTTCATTATTTGATGAACATCTAGGATCAAACTGGTCTACAAGCATCTTCCACAAGAGAGAGTTACCTCTGAAATTTCAAGGATATGGAAGGGTGGAAAGCTCTCGGTGCCAAAAAAATCAACTCCCACCTGACCTAAATAATTTCCTTGCACCAAAGATCACATTTCCGGTGCAATGCTTCTTACTATATATTGGACAAATGGGTAATTTTCTTTCATCAACCTCCAGTATCCATGTAGAAAGCATTCTTCCACAGACGTGATCATTATTTCCTGCATAACACATGCATGTCATTTCTATGTTTAACAGTTAATCTCGGTCATACTGCCATTTTTGCATGTCGTATCATCAGTTGTAATTTCATTCTTTTATTTTCCAGGACCGGATAATTTAAAAGAGGATGCAAGATTTGAAACACCAAAGTCAAACAGGAGCTCTTACTTACAAGATAGCACCCCATTTAAGGATGACTTTCTATTGGCATCCCAAGGTTACGACACACAGTGTGATGTGAGATGGGATTGTACATCACCTGATGCTCTCAGATATATTCGAAAGAGTAAGACTAAGAGACTAACCAAAATAATTTAAGACATTTTATGAGGAATTGCATATTTTTTATGTTCTCCCATATATAACCACTGTAGGTTTCATCACTCCTGAATCATTGGATAATTCTGCTAGAAGTTAGTAAACATTTTTGGTAACCCACTTGTGGGTAACATCCTAGATGTATTTTTCACTTGTCAATCTTCCAATTCTGACATCAAGTAATTTTTTTTGCGACATCATCATCTGATGTCATAATTCATAGCAATTGTTTTCCAAGTAATAAAATAACTGACTAGATTCTATAATCCTTCAGAAACAATTTAATGAAATGCTGCAGGGATCTCCACCCAATTAAAAATATCTGGATAGTCAGTTATTATAGTCAGAGTATTGTTCTCCGATTGGAAACAAGAATAAGGAATTCCCAAGAGAAACATATGGCCTTCTTTATATGATATGAATGTTATTATAGAAAAAGGTTCCCCAAACTTGTTATGGTCGATTATCATGTTTATCTAACTCTCATCATTAAATTTTTAAATTGCAAGACACTTGGTGAACCTTGTGCCTTTATAAACTTTAAATGACTCAAATTCCATTAACATGATAACTAACCATTACTCAGTGGGGAACCTACATATCCTTATATAAAGCTACCAGCTGGTATGTACCACAAGTGGAGTTGATGGTTGTTATATTTGATATTGTACTAAATTGCAAGAAGTTAATACATCATTCACAAGCTGTTGATCTCAACAACCCTTCAAGTTTTTTAATAAGTATTTAGGTAACAGGTTTGTCCTGTTTTGTACTTTAATTGTCTAGTGATCTGTTTATCCTATTATAAAGCAACTTTAATTTAGCTGTAAGTAATAAAGGTAGCTGCTTCAACAAGACTCTACTCCATACCATGTTAGTTTGTATAATCCAAGTAAACACTTTGTAATTAATATAAGCATATAAGATATATTGGTTGATATTGACAAATTTGTATCTTACAGACAGGCGACGCCATCACTCCAGTGATGTGGCAGACATTGTCCAGCTTCTTATTCCAGAGGAGGTATATATTGTAGTGTGGAATTCATAAATCCTTTTGCTTTGTATACATTGTATCATTACTGGCCATTGATTGGTTTGCACAGTGAACTCTATTTATCATCAACTGAATTTAGAGACATCCCAAGGTAGATGCCCTGTTATATCTGGCTATGACCCTAATTACCTGTTATATCTGGCTATTACCCAAATTACTTGTTATATCTGGCTATGACCCAGATTACTTGTTATATCTGACTATGACCCAAATTACCTGGTATATCTGGCTATGACCTAAATTACCTGTTATATCTGGCTATGACCCAAATTACCTGTTATATCTGGCTATGACCCAAATTACCTGTAATATCTTGACATGATCTGATGACCCAAATGACTGGTTTTGCTGACTTTCACTGTGAATTTACTGTCACAATATTTTATGACCAGATGAAAAACATTCTCTCACTTTAGACAGAGATATCCCATGTTATACCCTGTGCTTGATTTTTCTATCTCTGACACCTGATTTGTCTGGCAACTTTACGTAACATTTGCAGAGATTTTCACACACTGATGTATTCATCCGCAGGCTAATTGCTAAATTGACATTCCACATTATATAAGTATTCTATTTTATTGCTCCCAATGTTGTAGATAAAATAGGATCTACACTATGAAATAGTATAGGTTTTCTTCTTTGTAAGGACAGACTACATTGTTTGGTGGAATGGTTCAAATGTAGCTTTAGTAATGAAGAGGCAGTATTGATTTGAGGCCCTGGACAGGTTACTTGTAGAATGTAGCAGAATTGAATATGTGTTCAAACTAAAAGGTGCGAGAAAAAAAATACCTTTGACTGAGCGAGATCAGGTTTTGTCAGTTTTGGGAAAAGATTCTGTAGCATCCCAAACTCTGTTGGGAGAATGTTGCAGCATCTCAACCCTCGACTGAGATAAACTGATCTCGCTCAGTCACAGGTAGATTTTATTAATCTTTCTTGAAACCCAAAATTTACCAACATACTAATATGATGGAGAACACATTTGTTATAATGAGAACACATTTTAACATTTAATTCAAAGTTGATTTTCCTAAAGTTGATTTTCCTTAAACTGTTAAGAAGATAGAAATTATACATGTTTTAATCAGTCATGATCTAAAGGTTTCTGGTAAACATGAAATGTGGCATTTTACTTCCAGCCGCAGAAGGAGGATGCAGGTCCATCTGCAAACACACCACCCCTACTTGGATTGTGGATGAATTCATCAAGTCAATCCACACTCGCTGGCAAAGAGGACACGTCTGGTCGTAGTACATTCCAGGTGCACTGCAGCAAGCTTGTCCGGTGAGGGGCAAACACACAGGGTTTTAAGGGACCATTTCGTCTAATAACACTCTTTATATCGATTAGATATTTAACATACAATGTATATATCTCCTAACGATAGTTTACATAGTTGATAATGACATAACCTGAAGCCAATATCCAGTGAGGAAAGCTTTATCTTTTGTGAAAGCCGACGATGAGTAAACTGACTGTATGACTGAAATAGTGCAATATATTAAGGCCTTTCAAAGGCAGTGTCGAACTATATTATCATGAAGATTTTTGTAACAAGATTATAAAAAAAAATTGTATTACATTTAAATTGTCCCTTAAGAATGTTAAAATGTATTATACTTGTACCTTACTCTGACTAGTATCTCTTTCACAGAAAGATTCCACATTAAAAAGTTGTCAATTGATAATTAATCAAGTATGAAAATCTAGAAATATGTGAATATATTTCTGAATCAATGAGTTAGAACATTTAAAATTGTTTTCCTAAGAATACCTTTATGTTGGAGATGCACTTTTCCATGTAACTGTGAATCACTTAATATATCCTATTGTATAATTATGTGGAAGGAAAATTGAGGTGTATTGCAATGCTGATTGTTTAAATATATATGTATACATTTTTTGTATGTACATACAGTGTTCATGTAATGACTGCACAACGCACCAAAAATAGCATGCGCTTATCGTACATACATAGTGCACACACCATCTGTACATTGTTCACACATGGTGCCCACAACTGTGCGATTTAACAATCATTTGCCCTGTTTTGCGCTTCTCTCTGCACAAACGTGCGATTGGGTACAATTGGTCAATCAATATTAGGGAATGAAAAAATCTGGGAGGTTCGTTTGGAATAACGAACACTTACTGTAAATATAAATTTCTCATAATATTAATTAAGGTCATGTTCAATTTTACAATACGTGTTACGCAATAATATATAGTGACTGTAAGACTGTCAAGAATGGGTTTGGCTCCCAGGTAACAGAACAGGTAACCTGACGCCCTGTGCCTGACATAGAGATGAAAACACAACTGGACGTTAAGTGTTTGTTAACTGTATCTGTTTTAGTGGGGGTTCACCTGGATTTTCACACCTTAACGAGTTACTTAAGTGCCCCGGGTGGATGTACAAAGTGGCCATGTTTACATGTATATGGGATCATGTCCATAGGTGTCAAAATTTTACATGTGTTGATTTGGGCCGTTTGAAAAAAACACAGAAACACTATTTCTAAAGTTAAGAAAGGTCAGCTTATATATATGTACCTAGAATATAGAAACATTTAAAAAAAGTAAAGTTTATATATTTAAACATGAAACCGTATAAATTGTAAAGCCATTTCTCAATTGACACCAACCACGAATTTCATCGTACAACATTCGTCCATCGTCCGCACAATTATGCGCAAGCAAAATTTGTCCTTTGCACATCGCGCGCACATAGTGTAACATTGTGCGATCTCATAACTGTACTTGATAACCATGACAGCTATACCTCCATTTTAGTTGTCCTTTTCAGAAGTGTTGAACAAAAATTTGATGTATTAATATTTATTTTCAGGTTCAGGAAGAAGGAGAGGGCACGTTCAAATGCTAGTCGGGATGTAAAGATGCCATCAGAACTGTTAGAAAAGCTGAAACTGGCCGTAGAAAGATGTAAGAAAGATATATAGTAATTAATATGTATAAGGATGAATATGTAGGGGACATTCCAATTCTCCCCAAGGGTATAGAGGCCTGTGTCCATATCCACTCCGTGTATGGAAGAAAGCTTATTCCTACTCCCAAAGTATTGTAGATACTGTCAAAGCATAACATTTTGTTATATTTTTATTTTGTTTATTTCATGGTTTAGAAAAACCACATAATATAATCCATCAATATCACAACCACGAAATATAGACCACACAAACATTTGGAGAAAAAGAAAAAAATATCTTAATAAAAAAATCTGTGGGTTAAGGAGAAAGCTGTATCCATAATTCTAAAATGCTTGAAATGCAAAATGATAACTAACACAAATCTACATTTCTTTCCAAACCAGTCTGATTGATTTGAAATAATATAAGTATGTAATTGTGTCAGCAGACAAAATATTAATAATTTGACCTTTGTTTGCAAACAATAATATGTTTCCTGCTTGCAAAAAGTACTGAACTTGCTCGAAAAACAAAAAAAACACTACTTTCACGGTTCTTCTTTATTCTTACTAAAAAAAAAATCATTGTGATATACCCAAGATATTTATAAACATGTTCTTGTGTAATTAGGCTCATCCGAAAGCTTGTAAAATTCCCTTTCAAAAAATACCAAGGATGAAGAGATTGGTCCAAAAATAAAGATTTCAGGAGTTGTTAAAATTCCTGTTTTGTTACTAGTTAAAATAGGCATAGGAAATTATGCTTTTGTATTACAATCGTATTACATTTAAATTACTGATAAGGATGTAGATCTGTTTTGTTCGTATATGATACCAATACAAGAATCTGTTTAACCAATGTCTCTTCTCTATCTCTGCCGGTACCTCAACCAAGCTGTTAAAGATCAAAGCTTCTTGCCACCATCCTTAATAATTTATTAGTACCATTAAATAATAATAATAATTTGAGGTTGTTATATACAGCTTTATCACAACCTAGCTCGTAGGTCGTCTCAAAGCGGTTCACAAATTATTATCCGTGGTTAAAGGGCTTTTGCATCCAGCCAATATCTTTCTCAACTCCCTGGGGAGCATACAGGCGGTGCTGCCATTTTGGCGCTCACAGCTTCTAGCACTGCCGAACCATGTACTCATTTATAGCTGAGTAGACTGGAACAAGCAAAATAAGGTATCTTGTTCAAAGATACAACACTGTGATGCGACTCAAACCCGCAACCCTTCGGTCACGAGCCCGGCGTCCTACCACTAGACTAGTAACATTTGCATTGTGACATTGCACACTCTAAGGGAATAAATGGCAGGTAAACGTTGAGGAATTTAAGAGATAGTTTGATATTAAAGTCTTTAGCATCATATTCTCATGAATGTCTTTTCCACTCATTACACACTGAAGTAGTGCCTTTGTTCTCATATTTTGAGAGCTTCTTGTTCCAGGAATGGAAAACAACAATTCAAATGTGTTGTTGTGAACAATTATGGAGCATATTCTGTGAAAACAAAACATGACAGAAGCAAGGATAAAATACACTGATGATGAGTTCCTTTAGATGGACTGATTTCAGGGTTGACAATATCTCTTTTGAGTTCAAGGCAAACTTTTGTTTCAGATTGTTGGCATAGTAACATACTATGTGCTCTTCTGGCAAAAGAAATGTGATCTTTTCCTTTCCTTGAACAGGCACTTTGATATGATTTTAGAGAAAAGATTTACATGGCTGTGTCATTGATGGATATGCTTACATGGTCTTATTCTCCTTCTTCTTGTAACTCTTTTCTTCGTTCATATTTTTGTCCAGGCTTCATGGATTTTGATCATGAATTAAAATGGCAGTATTGTTTACACTTAGGGACATTCTTTTGTTCCTCTTACATCCGCAATAGTTTCTGACACGTCACAGATTCATTGGACATGCGTCCTGCATCTTTTATAAATTTTATCACATAGGCTGAATAACATTGATCAGTATTGTGTTTCCATTGTTTTTATGCCCATGTAAATTTATGATTTTTTCTTTATTTGTTATTTAGGTAATGAGGGACATTCAGAGACAACGGAAATGACCATAGAAAATGTGGGGTATGAAATCTTATTTTGTTCAATCTGAATTGTAGCAATCCGGTTTGATGTTTTCATTACCTTGTAATTACTAACTTCATGCTAATCGTAAGCTACTGACATAAATACTTGTCCAGGCAACTTATTATCCCCTCTCAACCAAAGTTTGAGGGAACATAGGATTCCGCCCGTACGTATGTTACACTCTTTTGTCATCGCTCTATCAACTTCATTCCCCAACAGAATTTCATGAAACTTCATACAAGTGTTTAGTATGGCAATGCCTTGGACGTGTTTGCGTTTCTGGTTTGTATGTTCAAGGTCAAAGTCACTGCTACTATTTTTAGAAAAACTCATCGCTCTATCAACTTGATTCCTCATCAGAGTTTCATGATACTTAATACCAGTGTTTGGTATGGCAATGCCTTGACCAAGTTCACGTTTCAGGTTTCTGCGTTATTAAAGGGTCAAGATCACTTTTTATTATTTTAAGAAAAAAACCTATAAGTGACTTCATGTCACAATGTGTGAATGGGGGGGGGGGGGGGNTATGATGCCTTGTTTAAATAGGAATGTGTGTGGGTGTCAGAGATGGAGGTGTGTGGGTGGGAGGGATTGAGATGTGTGGGTGTCAGGGATGGAGGTGTGTAGGTGTCAGGGATGGAGGTGTGTGGGTGTCAGGCATTGAGGTGTGTGGGTGTCAGGGATTGAGGCGGTGTGTGTCAGGGATGGAGGTATGTGGGTGTCAGGGATGGAGGTGGGTGGGATGGATGGTGGTGTGTGGGTGTCAGGGATGGATGTGTGTCGGTGTCAGTATTGGAGGTGTGTTGGTGTCAGGGATTGATGTGTGTCGGTGTCGGTATTGGAGGTGTGTGGGTGTCAGGGATGGATGTGTGTCGGTGTCAGTATTGGAGGTGTGTGGGTGTCGGGGATGGATGTGTGTCGGTGTCGGTATTGGTGGTGTATGGGTATCAGGGATGGATGTGTGTCGGTGATGGAGGTGTGTGGGTGTCGGGGATGGAGGTGTGAAGGTCTCGGGGATGGTGGTGTGTTTGTGTCAGGGATATTTCTGTTCACATTTTGATTTGAATAAGAACAAACAGGTTCAAGCATGCACGCACTAAGAGGGTGCCGCAGGGAGAATTTCAAACAGCAGGAAGTACGATATTAAAAGGTTTAAACCTAAAACAGATCACTTTTTATAACGATATAAACAATGTTTTTGTAGTTTAATCCAATCAGATGTTACCAATGTATGAGCAAATAAGCATAAATGCTTCAGTCAGAACTGGTTTTTTTTCGCACCAGGGCTGTATCGGTACTTAGTTTACTCTAGATATTTGACTGTTAAACGAAGATAGGTTAATTAGGATCAGGGCTTAATCTATCTTAAATAAAATTTTTTAAATGTTAACAACAAAGTCGTTTCAATATGCCATGGTTTCTTTTTATAGGGAAACAAAAAAGGAAGGTTTTGATCAATCAAAGGATTTGTTTGCAAGTGCTGAAGCAGCCAGGTCTGTGTTCAGAAGGACTGACACCTCACCAGTTCCTCAAAATGCCAAAAAAGCTGAGTGTCAGGATGGAGATCATGATCTGGATTGGAGTGATGATGACATGTTCGAAGAGGACTCTTTCTTGATGAAGGCTACGCAGGACCCAGGCCTGGAATCAAAGGGGACCCAATCAGACAAAAGGGGCAACAAGCGCAAGTCCCATGAGTTGGAGGAGTCTCAGAGTAAAATCAGCAAAGTGCGTTCATCTACCTATCAGGAGTGTCAAAGTAACAAGACGAAAGGGGAACAATCAAAGGGTGTTATTCCATATAAAATGTTACAAGTGGGTAAGGGGAGATCACCATCACCATTCAGGAAAGTGAAGAGTTTTAATGACATTGATCAGGTGGAAACAAAACGTGTGAGTGATCTTAGACCTCATAAGGGTCGAAAATGCTTATCACTAAGGAATGTTGATAATATGACAAAACCACAAACAATCACAAATCCTGCTGTTAGATCTGCAGATGCTCGGTGTGGTAGCACTTTCTCATATCAAGCTACTAAAAGTACAAATAATTCAGCACTTGACAAAAAACAATTACTGACACAGGATTGTCCCTCAGTGGAAAACAGGACAGGTGTAGATACAAGTAGTCCTTCTATTTTGAAGAAAAATGTGTCTTCTACAACTGCTGCTACAAATAGCAGTGTTGCTAGTGGTGGCAGAAATTCAATTTCCACAAAGACCGGAGCTTCTACCCTTCAGCCAGGAATTATTGAAGCATATTCTTCAGGGCCAAAAAAAACCAGTGGCAAAAGTCCTATCGTCCCTGTATATTCAACAAGTCACAGTGTTAAAGGTCAAATCAGCATTTCTAGTAGGACATATGTTGTTGCCAAACCTCAAAACACTAATTCCTGTTCTGTTGGTAATCGTCAGAGAACTGCGACTCAGAGTCCAAATCCTGCTGTAGACAAAGGCATGGCCAACAAAATAAATTCTGGATTGCATTGTTCAGGTTCAACTGTCTCCAGCACTTCTACGGCTACAACTTCTAGACGTCGATCTAGTGGAATGTTCGACACCAGTTTATCGGATGATCTTCTGTGCCAGCTGGCTGAACCAGATGAGCTTTTGGATAGCCAGGCTAGTCCAACCACTTACAATAATTTAAACCATAAATCTCCAAGTGTAAGTACTGTATCACTCGGAGTGAAACCACAGCAAGGAACAACAAAATGTGTTAGTGAATCGTGTGATAGGCCTGATGGTACAAAGAAACAAACAATGACAGGATTTAAAAAGGTGCCTCAAAGTTCTAGTGTCAACAAAACTAGATGTGCGGGTGGTAATAAGGCTCAAACTAAACAGCCCCATGTGATCAGTGGCAGTGAGTCGGTCCATGTTGGGAGTGGTGCAAACTCTGTGATAAATCTTAGCCAGGTCCCCTCCACACAGAAAAGTAAATTCAAATTTAAATCCAAATCTGTGAGCAGTGAAATGGTTGTGCCAACTTCAGTGTCAACAGTTGCTTCAAAAGTGTCTGTGAGTCTGTCCACATCTGTCAGTGCCCCAGAGCTCAACAAACTTCATGCTGCAGCTCCCAAACCATCAGGTAAAATATGTGCTGTACCTACAATAGTGCATATCAAATTAAACCAGCTTCCACCATTCACATTGAAAACAGTCTCCAGTTAGTTATCTTAACTGCTTTGTAGTTCTTTGGGATAGGTTGCTCCTACAAGTTTGGAATAGAAATTATTTTTTCCCTCATACTCATTATTTCAAATTTTCAAGCATTCCAAACAAGCTCTGCAGTTTCTTTAATTCTATGAACAACTTCTATTTGCCAATATATTTGGGGTAAGAATCCATGTAACAACTACATTAAAGTTGGTCTTTTACATCTAGATTGATCCGAGCCTTGCTAATTCAGCCACCACTAAACCATTTCAATAGTCTCATCGGCAATGGTCCATATTAAGATTCAGGGTTAGACACTTACTTTTTTTGCTTGGTAGTCCACATGATTAGTTCAGTGGATTGTTTACTAGTCCTTCGTCAATGTAACTAGTCCCAAGATTTCCTGATAAGGAAACATCACGATCTACAGCACGAAAAATAAAAAGTACTCTAGGGGACTTAAAATAACTACTGCCATAAAAATATGGTGACGTTTTATAGAAATTTTGACAATTATCATGCAATATATATATATCTTACTTTAAGCAGTTTTCTAAATTTTAAAAAGGAATATTCTTATTTTATATAATCATATTTTTCACAAGTCCAAAGGACCAGTTCGGCTAGGTGATTAAATAGTCCTGGCAGAAATCTACTTGTCCAAGACTAACGGACAAGTGTTAGTGTCGACCCCTGATATTTTTAAGAGACCATTTGGCCTTTTACTATATGGAATAGGTCCGTTATTTAAGCCATCTCACAATCAGCTGGGATCACATTTATATATATAATAGATGACTGGGTTGGTAAAATATATTATGATGACTGTTTTGATATTAAATGTTGTGTTTTTTAGGTGCTCTGGTAGATAACAGTGAGGATTTGTTTATATCTGATGAGGACGAGCTGTCCGAACAGCAGATCTTGGCCATGCTTGACACAGTAGAGAGTAAGTGTAAAACATCGTTTGTTTGTTGACTCGCGGAAAACGGTGGTTACAATTGAAAACACAACCCTGTTTCTGAAAAAAATGGTCGTTGAAAACCGTTGATTTGGTTGGAGTGAACGTTGTAACCATTGAAAACACAACCGTTTCTGCAAAAATGGCTGTTGAAAACCGTTTGATTTGGTTGGTTTGAAGTGGGTTATGAACCAAAGAAGGAACATGATATGAAAACAAAAGGAATTTCTGGTGTTATTATAAAAGAATATTTGTGAGTAATTCGGTTTCATACCTTCATAAATGTTAAGAATGTACATTTAATATCCTCATTAAACTGAGAACCAATTTATTCCAAGTACAGTCAATGACCCTGGTAATGTGTTGTTTTACAGCAAATACATTGATAAAAAGACTGTCATACTTAACTTGTTTAATTAATGGTGACCAAATGCAAAATATTTTTGTTCTCGAAAATCGTATCCAAGTTCCAATTGCCATACATCATATTCCAATAACAAAACAAAATTTTGAAAATACATCAAGTAAATTTAAACCTGACTTTAAGGACACCTTTCAGCAACATCCAAGTTTATATTATTGCACGATTTTTTCAGTCTTTAAACCTGATTTTAACAATGTATTGTCATGTTTAACATGTTCATCAAGTCCTTGGTTGATGTTGTGGAAATTCAGCTTTCATCAATACCAGGGATGAATAATTTCAGAGTTAGAATACATGTGTACTAGCATGAAGGCAGAATATAAAAAATTCTACTATTTTTCAGTCGTACCGACATAAAATCTACTAGCCCAATCAATTAATTGATTTTCTGTTTTCAGTGGAGGCTACTCAGAAGCCCCCAGTACCAGATGGTCACCGGTGTCCAGAGACTTATCCAAGTGCTTTCCCAAGCAAATGCTCTTTAAATCAAATTGAGCAGAAAAAACATGCAGCAAGAGCCAAACTTCAGCAGAAAAAAACAGGTGCTGTGTCTCCAGAAACTCAGTCGTTAAATGCTAGTCAAACAAAATCAAGTCCTTCGAAATATACTCAGTACGAAATTGAAAGGAAAAAACAGGCTGCTTTAGAAAAAAGGAGAGTGAAAATGAAAGAGACTTTACCCGAAAGCTCAAACGTGATCGATACACATAAACAGGATTGTGAACTTGATAAACAACAGTGTGTCGGCACAAAAACCTCCAGTACGATACCGTGTAGCTCTTCAGTTAGTCCCATCAAGTATCAACAGGATATAGAAAGGAAGCGACTGGCTGCTCTGGAAAAACTGAAACTAAGGGAAGAAGCTGTTAATAAGTGTGCCAGTACTTTTAGTGACAGAAATAGTTTGAGCCCAGTGAAATGCAAACAGGACGAAATTGAGCAAAAAAAACTGGCAGCATTGGAAAGACAGAAACATGCATCAGGGGATGTTATTAAGGTTCGCCATCAGTCAGATTCTAGTCCGGGAGTCTCCAGTAGTCAAAGTGCAGAGAGTAGTCCTTTTAAATGTACACCTGAAGAAATTGAGAAAAAGAAACTGGCTGCTTTAGCCAAATTAAAAATAAAGAGAAACTTAAACAGCCAGTTATCTAGTAATAAAGGGAGTCATTCAAAAACATAATAGAAGTACATATACAGTATCAAATTAAAGATGAATATATTACATATTCTATTGTTATATCTTGTATTTGCATTTGTATATATATACTGTGTATGAAGTTGTAGGTTTTTGTCGTAAGGTATGATGTATATGTGCATGTATGGCTGAGGTTGTCAGTTATATCAACAAGACATATGAAGAAAGTACCAATATATACATGTATGCATTGCTAGCTGCATCACTTTACCTATCTTTACCAAGGATTCTGCTCTCTTCTTTACACCCTTGGAATATGTCATGGCAAAAGTGAAAGTATGGGGGTTAGCTATTTGATTGGTTTCAGGTATAAAAACCTAACCAGTCCCTGGGCTTAAGATCGATCACAGATGAGCGACACCCAACTTTAAAGCTGGTCAACTTTACTGTTATGCTGCTGCATGATTCTTTTGTTAAATGATCATACTATTCTACTCGAGTCATCCACATGATGGCGCATACAGAGCCTTCTATTTTGTCTTGACATAATCCGAGGGTGCAGATAGGATATGTGTCTCAAAGAGTAGTTGAAGAATCTGATGCACTTTACCAGGCCATGACTTTTTTTAAACCAGTTCAATATTGTTTTTCGAAAATTTTAATACATATCGGTAATTATACAAATAATTGTTATAACTTATAGGCAGGTGGCTGTTACAGACAGGAGATAGCAAGATACAATTTGGGGTCATTTTGTTACAAGTCATGATCAAGGTCATTAAAAATTATATCCTCCAATTTAGTTTAACTGGCTGATGGATAAATTTCCCCACTATTTCTAATTATTTGGTCAGAGGGATTGTTTATAGGGGGTAAAACACCTATTATATTTTTCTGGGTCACTCCATTTATGATCGGAGTCATTAAAGATTACTTCTTACACATATATTTTGAATTACATGGGCCTGTATTAAAACTATATGAAAATAACTAATACTGTATAATTTAGGTTATTATCATATTATGAGGTGTATAGTACATGTACATGTATTCAAATAACCTTGTATACCCAAAAAAAGCTGGGTGTATTATACAACTGTGTAATGTTTTGAAACTAAAAGGTCTTCAATATCAGAAAAAAACAGCTACTGGTAGAATTGTTCAACATTCCATATAGCCACAGTATAAATTGAAGCATCCAATGGTCTTTCTTTATCTACATATAATGTGCTACTAAAACAATTGTTTGACTAGTCGAATAGTATAATGTTGTATTATGTAGTATCATAGAGGTTCCTTGTACAGATAATTTACTGCAGGCAGTATTATTCGTGTTGTTAATAGCTTAGATTTTTGCACAATTAAACAAAGCATTGTTTAGTTTGCTGTTTTGAAAGGGTGATCTCGAAGATTTTACTGTAAACTGTTATATGTTTCTCTCTCATAGTTTTAAACCAAATGACTTTGTCTGAAAATGTCTGATTAAGTGATCATGATATATTTCAAGTCACTATTGACGATCCGCCCAGTTCGATGTTACAACTTAGGGTGATAGAGCTAACAGTTTTTTCCCCATTAACTTTAGAAGAAAGCTTGATAGAAATACACTAGTGTTGAGCTTTGATACTGAAAACGTAGAGGAAAGTGATAAGTTCCCATGTTGTGAATCAATAAATGGTGGAAAAGATTTTTTGGTTTTACTTTTTTCATTCTTAGTATAATTCGAAAAAGAAAAATAATTGGCTTAGTTGGTCCACAAGGCCAAGTGAGCTAATTATTTTATGGTATGGTGCCAATGTTTATATATATTATTTAACAATGTTGAATAGCACTTCACCAGTATTACTTGGCCAAACTTAAGTAGATGTCTATTTATTTTAATAGGAAGCTGCAGATTGTTCAAAGGAGAAAGTGGTCGAGTACTTTGAGGGCCAATAAAGACTGAAATTTGAAAAATGGAAAAATGTTTTCAAGTTATTTAAATATATATATTTGAAATATTTAGATTTTTTTTTTTCTATCTGAAATTTGAAAATTATCATAGGAGACAGCAGGAGTGTAAGAGCTACACCCGGTGTAACCCAGAGGTAAAAGTTCAAAGGATTTTTTTTTATGGTCTTCTATAATAAAACATCAATGAATGCATGTATTAATGCATTATCAGCATATTACGGACACATATAGCCTCTTCCAATTGTTATAAGCACTGCATAGAAATGTTGGTGCATTGTGAAATAAATAAGAGATTAAAAATAGAGTTGGTAAAGTAGAGCACTTTCTCAAATTCCATACATTAAATTTGCATGTTTCAATTTTGAGCTTGAGAAAAAGATGGTTTCCTAATATCTGATTTCCCTCCATCCATTTTTCACACATCACTATTCTACAGTAGTCCATAAGAGACAGCTACACATGAAGAGGACAATAGTATACACAGTATGAAGTTTCAATCGAAGGTCTGGCTGACCTCGTGATGCATTTGTAATATGTTATTACTGTTAATGATAATAATAATTTGAGGTTCTTATATATATCGCTTTATCACAACCTAATTCGTAGGTCCTAGCACTGCCCAACCACATACTCATTTACAGCTGAGTAAGACTGTAACAAGGGGAGTAAAGTTTCTTGCTCAAGGATACATCACAGTGCCGTGAGGTGACCCAAACTCGCAACCCTTGTCACAAGCCCGGCGTCCTACCACCAGACTACCGTGCCTCAAGACTGTTGACAATACTATCAAAGTATCAATCAAACAGATATAAACAGAAAAGATCAAACTTACATAGAACTAAGGAGGATCTTATATTGGTAGGTAGCAAGATCCTTCTGGGATCATTTTGGCATATGGTCAGATACATGAGGCATATTTTTAGGCAATTGTTTATGAGAAGTTGTCAAATTTTTGAAACCCTTTCATTACAATCTTTGACTTGTAATATATTGAACTTTTCTTTATAATTATTATAACATGTTGTTTTGGCTGTGTTAACATTTTAAAGTTCATGATTATTGGTTGATTGATCGGCTTGTGGGGGAAAGGAATGACATGTTTGATTTAAATGTAACAAGGAAATTTATTAAACACTCAGTAAGGAAAAATAACAACGCAAAAATATAACCAAATATATTTTATTAAACAAAATCAAATTTGCACACAAGTATTACATGTATATATCACAACACAAAGACAGATTGACAGGAGGTAATAATGGAGAGCAACAGTTAGGTTGTTACATATATACATGGCCATGTATGCCAGAATCTACAAAGGAATTTAAAAACAAAAACAAACAAAAGTTGATGGTATTTTGTTCAGATCCCACATAAACCTACCCAGAGACTAATTTGAGAAGTCCAAGTTGTTCTGGCATTATGGCCAGGTCTTACATGAATGAACTTTACAAGAGACTTAAGTTCATTACATAAAATTTTAAAACAATTTCTCACTGAAAATAACATAAACAAATATGATCATTTTGTACCGGTACTTGCTACTATTTTAAATTAATTGTAGCAGCGCTCTTTAACTTTTTAGTTTAAGCATTCAGCTTAATAATACTACAACAAACAGTTTAACCAAGTAAAAATGACCATGTAAACAGGTATTGGATTTCAATATTTCAACAAATGTATAAAACATATAGAAATGTTAATCACAGACATAGCAGTACAAAAATAAAGTTATCATTTTCTACAGACATTACACCTAGCGAATATTTGATGTGATACAACTTTTTTATTGGTAAGAGATGGTGCACACTAACAATATGTACCACTGTCTTCATTGTTGTCCCTTATCATAATACCCTACAGAAAACTGGTCATGTTTTCTTCAACGCTTGCCCTTAGGTCACCAGAACTGCTTACAAAATGAAGTTCAGCCAATGTCTAGAAGTATTTTATATTTGTTCTGGTCTTTCTCTGACTCTGTAAAGTATAAGATGAAACATGTTCTAGTAAATCTAATCAAAAGAAAACAAGAATTCCACAGGAGTGGAAGTGTCGCCTGCTCAGCGCTTTTAGTGAGAAAAGGGTTTTGGCTTGAGTTATCCCATAAACAAGCAAAAATTAACGGCAAAAACGATGAACAGTGTTGCTATGTCAAGTAGTGATATGCCAAAACGAGGAAAGTTGGAACTCGACAGAAAAACCCATAAAATGTGTTGAACATTATTGCTTCTAGTATTACCAAACAAAACTTGAAAGGAATTGATTAAAAAAAAAAAGTTCTTGCATTTACTACACAATGCCCTTATTTGGCAATAAAAGAGGCATAACTCCACCAAATGCATTTAAACTTCTGAAACGCAAACTCGTCCGAGCTATATTGGTATGAAATATGTGTACCAAGTTTGAGTAAAATCAACCCAACGCAAGGGAACTCAAGTTAACGCATGGAAACCTTGATTCGGATGACGCAACCGTCGCCAAAGTAATACCTATATGTCCCCTCGTGTTGCAGGCGACACAATAAATGACATCTCAAAGCAAAGATTACACATTTACATAATTTCTACTGTATACAGTGAAATCTATTGTTTTACATTGAGAGAGGAATTTTTGAAAGCTCTAGCTTGACATTTTCATATACCTGAGTAGTCCCTCCGATATTGTATACATATCATTTACATGTATCCAGGTATGTTATAGAGCTTAAAATATTGCTGATGTTTACAGAGTAATCTACTGTTTTGCACCGAGAGATATAACTACATTTTACACTGATTTAACAGATGCACAATTTCACTAGCCTGGCTTCTGGATTTATGTATGTCAGGGCTGGAGAAAATTTTCAATGTTTACTATGAATATATAGGTCAGGCTGTTGAGAGTCAAAATCAGCCTGTGGCCTAATACTGAAATTGTTCACCAATTAAATATTGCGAATGTTTACAGCAAGAGGTATTTTTATTGTTAACATTGAAAAATTATGTATACTTTTACTGTGAAATATTACTAGTAATCGTATTGATTTTTTTAAAAATTTGTGACAAGAAATATGATTTACAATGAGAAATAATGCTACTAATCTGTAATTACTTTGATATGAGGCCTTGCATACCCTGGGACAGTTAAAACACATACCCGTCTCCGACCACTGGACTGCTTATTGAAGGTCTCCTTCCGTTTTAGCCTCCTTTCTCGCTCTCTCTCTCTTTTTTGTTTCTCGTAAACTTCAGATTCTTCGTAACACACAGGTTTTGCCCGTCTGCATTTTCTTTTTGTATTTAGCTTATTAGGACTATTCTGAATATGAGACAAAAATGACAGATTATAGGTAGTTCAAGGCTTTGAATTCATCAGGTTGGATATGTTCACATTTTTTTTCACCCATTTTAAGAAGAAAATACAAAAAAAGTATGAATATGAACTGTGAAACCTTTGATGATAGAAGTCTTATAAAGATTCATCATCTAGCTATAAATACTAAATTGCCAAGCAATCATCCAGGTATATATATATAGTCAATTTTTTATAATGCTTGTTTATATCATGTATAAAGGATTGGAATAGGCTGTTACTTTGTGTGACTAACTTGCTGTGGCTGTAAGTCTTGTACAATGGTGGTGATATTGTTGCTAGATGTGTAATCTTCTGCGATGTCCAGAAGATAATCGGCCACATTTAGGTCACTCAGGGTTACATCTGTATATCTATGCAGCTCCTTATCCACAGACTCCACAGGCTTAGTGTCATCGTCTGAAACAATAACAAGGGAAAGTGGTACATAAAGGGCCATAACTCCATAAATTAAGGTTGAACAGTGGTAGTTATCAACCTTGTTTGAACTATCATGATAATGTACCTTCCTATTAACTTTGAAGTTAACCTGTTAAGAAACTACTTGAGGTATCGAGCTGACACTGTTTTGACAATTGAATGAAGGGCCATAACTCCATAAATAACGGTCTGACAATTACGGTTATCAAAAACCACAGTTTAATAAAACTCAAATAGACTATAAAAAGATTCGTGCTCTAGATAATATTTCTCAAATTCTTTAGAACTGAGGTATTTTCATGATCCGAAGCTTTGAAAATCTTACCAATCATTTGGAGAATGTCAAGTGGAAAGAAATCTTGACTTCCAGGTTTCACCTCAAATACATTTAATGGATCATTTAACAGAGGTGTTAAGGGGACATCAAGGTTCTGTAAAGACGGCCTGAAAATTTAAAATATTAAATCTATAGTTTGAGAAATGATTAATGCACATTGTTATGTGTTTTAAATTACTTCACACTAACAAATACATAATCCTAAATCAGACAGCTAGGCCAATAATAAACAGTTTCAGATTTCCATCCCATTGACCCATGTTTTTGAGTTTTCACACATCTTTTTTTTTTTACAAATTGAACTATTTAGCGTATAAATATAAAGTAAATTATCAAAAGGATCTCCTATGTCTAACAAAGTATTAAAGATTTTTTAGAAGGTGAAAATCTGAGGCACAAAATAACTTTATTCAATCCTATTAAATCATTATCTGTAACAATCTTATACATTTATTTAACTGGGACATGCACAAAGACTTTGATGTAACATCAGCTTATATAAATTTTATTATTTCTGTTTTATGTGTAATAAAATTAAGAAAATACAACCACAAATAGTATTTCCAGTTAATGTGTTATCTTAATAATATATACAATTATAATTACCAATTTACATTCCTGTTCAGCAAACATGGTGTCTGATATGGCATTTGATGTGTTCGGTTGAAGTTAACTTTTGGAGTTGAAGGTTGACTGTAGCTCATGTTTATCAACTTGACATCCTTCAATATGGGTGTTTGTAACAATGATCGGGTGTATTTACCTAAGCCACTGCCTTCAGTTTCTGATGTATTCAGTGAACAAATTATAGGTTCAGAGAGTTTTACTGGGGACCGATTCTTGTAAAAAGGTGATGATCCAGTTTGGGAAGCTGGCTTTTTGAAAGTCTGGCAGAGAGGTGTTCTTTGCACAAAGGTTGGCATTTTCCGAGAATGTTGTTTTGTTTGTAACTTCAGACGTCTCATTATTTGCGCCCGTTTCTTCTTCATTTCAGCTTCATAGATTTCCTGAAAAGTCAAAGTTAAATACAGTGTAATTATATTCAGTCACATTACATTAATGCCAAAAGTTTTCAAAATCAAATTCAGAATGACTTCCATGTTTCTGAGATTGTGTTAGACATCCAAAAGTAATCTAATTATTTTACCATTTTTGTCTCACTAATAATGACTTATTGATGTCAAATGATGCCTTGTCATATTTTTTCCACTGTGCAGTACAGTACTGATTAGTAATGTTATGAGAATTTTTGTATTTGAAATGAATTACCGGTAGAAGACTTTCTGCAGTTAAGCTTTCAATATTTCTTTCCTCACACCAATACTATTACCACGGACTTAGATAATCTAATTCCGTGCTATTACTAAAGACTAAAAGAGACGCATACAGAAACTGTACTTAACTCTTACAAAATCTTTAGGTTATTTACATCGGCTAGCGACAAATATGGAATAAGAATACTAATTTGCTCATTCTCCTCTTAAATAAACTTTCTACTCAGTTTCCTGGGTGTTTTTTTTTTGTCTGCTGGATAAAAGACGAAAGATTGTCATTTGCAAAATTGACTGTCGCCCTGTACAGTATATGTCTATACAATATAGAGACGTGCACTTCTTATTTTACCTGAAACGCATGATCAATATCCTTCCCTGTGAACGTTTCCAATTGATTATTAGAAAGGGTATTTAAGTAATACTTTGCGGGATGAGTCTTCATCTTAAAACAAATGACAACCGAGTCGTCTGCCAACGGGAGATCGCACTTCCGGTAAAAGAAAGAAACGATTGCGGGAATATTTGAAAACATTTATTTACGGAAATCGAGTAAGAACACAACGTATTAAGTAATCTTTCGATATAAACATTTCAAATTAAAAATAAACACAGTTATGCTTCGATTAGTCCGATGTAAACATACATAAAATTGGTCGTTGGACGAAATGTAGCATTTTCCCGGCATTACTCTAAATTTCTCCGATGTTGGTTTTAATTTTATTAATACATGCTCTGCTTCCGGTTGAAGCAAACGCAGGTAGTTTTGCTTTTGGTTTCTAGGTAACGTAATAGTAAGTTAGTAATCTACTCACTGTATGAAGGAACGGAATTAACATTTGCTAATATATTTTTCTTTAAACATATTGATTTTGTTGTTGTAAAATGATTCCAACTATGAATACTTATTATGATATTTTCAGCTGCATTTTACCACCAGCTTAGATCGGGTCATTTCGCCAATAAACACGTTCGTCCGAGACGTGGTTTTATTGATTGATATTAGTTTAATTAAAAACTTATGTTGCTACAAATATGTTGAGAAATACTGATGTTGAACTTATTTCATTTAAAGGCTTTATGTGGTCATATACTGTATTTTGCAATTGGCTATGTATTAGGTCGAAATGACTTCTTACAAGATCTCGCTCTGAATCTACTCAAACAATGTTAGAGATTTTACACGTTTGAAAACTTTTGACAGGCGCCATGTGACCTCGTCACTATCGGCAAAATAATATCCGATAGAAAAAAGCCCAACCAGCGGCCTCTTATGTTATAGGAGTAGCTCTGAATCTAGCAATCGCCATCATCCGGTCATCATTATGATTACTTCAAAAGTTGAGATTATTTTGAACTACATGATCTGTGATTGACTCCCGGTATTCATAAACACGGGCATAATAGATAATAATTACTGGCATATATAAGATAAGGACGTAATGTTCGAAATAGATTATGTAACTTGTTGCAAATGTCTGAAATACACATATCTGATATGGGTCACAGCTCACATAAATATACACAATGTTTATGTGTGCTGTGAACCAAATGATATCGTAATTTATTCTATGTAAAAATATTATTTCACAGCACATTACCTGGTAAAAAGAGAAAAAAGTTATAAAATAAATGAATGCTCAAAAACGAAAGAATGCCAAACTGCAAAAACAGAACACTGGAAGTGTTGATGGAAAGACCAAGAAGAATGATACACTGTCAAGCAACAGGTACCAGTATTTAGATTTTATCATACAATGCATTTTTAGTTAACAAAATTATAAGAGTAATTAAACTAAATCAAACAAAACATGTAAATGCTGCTCGTTGGAATTGCTAGAACCACGGACTTAGATAATCTAATTCCGTGCTAGAACATGCAGGTGATCAGCTGAATGTCCCGATGGATATTAAGTCTAAAATAACTGACTGTCTCCTTTAAATTCAATTCAAGATATTTTAGTGTGAATTAATGGAGGGATCTGACTGCAAGCAAAGCCTATATTGGTTGCATTCCCCGTCATCTTCACCACCAGACTAACTCTTGGCCTGTTCTCATGCTCAGGTAATGAATAGGCTGACCTAGACTGACGTCGGTCCTGGCGCCTTATCACTGTGTCTCTAACAGGCCCGGATAGAGATCAGCTGGTGTGCATCATGACCCTTACATGAAGATTTAAAAATAATAACAAAAACACCTAAGTAAAACTCACACACGTATCTCATACGATATCAAACAATTATTAATAGAAATATACCTAAGCTTAAGCCCTTTCAATTTTACACCAGAAATTGATTAAACCTCTACAAAATATTATGAAGATATATAAGCTAGAAAGCAATAAGTTACGCTATGATATCATGCAGGTTCAGCATACAACAAGTAATATTATTAATACAACACCTGAAGTTCGATATGGCGACTTGTGGCTTCCATACTTTTTCATAAATGCATACGTACTCACCTGATCACACTGTACTATATACATAACATAAATATACGCTATAATATGTAGAATTACATATAAAACAGATATCAATATAGATGGTTACAGTGAACAATAACAATAATATTTTCAAAACATTCCTAACAAATCATTATACACTATGAAACGCATGACCGAACCGCACGAGCGAACATATGTTTGCCTAGGATATTTATCCAGAAACAGAGATATAGAAATATTCCCCACAGTCTGTTATCTGTGCCTGTACATGTTTAAATTCTGCACTTGCAGTAGAATAGAGTAAATAAACTCGGCGAACTTATGTCCCGCTTGGACTTAACCATTTCCGGTCACACCCAAAACTACGGTCGCTCCAAAGGAACAACGAACAAACAGCAAAAACATATATAAAAACAAATAAATACACACATTCATACGAACGTGACGCCAATTTCATTATTAAAGCAATGAACATAAATGTAAATATTTTATAGTTGAAATGGACGGAGCTAGAACTGAGCCCGGAGTAGAGCTGTAACCTACAAACATTTTTTAGATTCATTTTGTATATTGAGTCTAACTGTACTGTATTTGTTCCTGTATGCAGAAAATCAACCTCCCCTTAACTTCTGTTTGGATATAAGTATATATAACTATTGGATATAATACCGCCTTTTATTTATTCATTTATGTGCACATTCAGATGATTATCTTCTTGCTTAATGTATAATGGTGATTGCAAGCCTTTTTTGTTTAACAATTATAACTAATACTATTATCCATATGTTTTAAAGTGCCATAGAGTAATTTTACAAATAATATAAGACGCTATATTAATGTTGTATGTTATTATTAAAATAAATGTTGTATATAATTATTAATTGTAAAACAGTTAGCAAAGACAGTTCTGTTGACCAGGTACAATGTAGCGCAATTGGTTAAAGCAATCAGTATATAAATCTACCATATACCATACCATAGAGATACCATATTTTTTAGACCTTTATGCCAAACTCAATGAAGAGCTTTACTTATGTCATTAAAATACATATCTGATTTCCTTACATTTATCTAAATTTTTCCTTTTTTTTTGTCCCATCAGAAAACTTTTTAAAGCGGATAAAGTCAGTTATTTTTTACTAGATGCTTTGGGATGTAGCAGATCTGGACAAAGTTGAGTAAAATTGTAGTTCAGCATATATATAGACAATAGATAAGGATGTATATATGTAAAATTGTAGTTCAGCATATATATAGACAATAGATGAGGATGTATATATGTGTAGTGAACAGTTCAACACTTACATTTTTTTTTTGCTTCAGAGGTTTTCAGATTTCACATTCCATTTCTCTACAATTTCTAGTTCTTTTGTCAAATCTTAACTTTTTAGAGTATTTGTTTTTCCATAATATGTCTTAAGATCAATCCCATTGGACTTTTTTGTTTTACCTTAAAGATTTTTTTACATTATCATGCAGGGACTTAAGTGAGACTGTTCTCGATTGCTATTCATTATGAAAAATCACAGCACATTCAGTGACAAGAAATATGTTTCAGGAGTGACGTGAGAGGGGGACGTGATTTGGAACTGAGTTTAGTCCTAGGACTTGTGACATTTAGCGTGTACTACACCACCCTCTACCCGTCTCTGCCTGGAGGAGACTCAGGTAGGGTTGTATGTACAATACTGTTAACAGAGCTCAAATAGGAAAAAATCAATCATTACAACTCAAATTCTGAAATATTGTTCAGAGGAGTGATTATATGAAAAATAGGCTGAATCTTGAGCATAATCTGTGTTCGAATGTTCAGAATTGAACATGTTTTATTACTTTGTCATTACACAGTACAAATAGAAACAGATGAGCAATGTAAGTCATATGGGCCTCGTGTTTTGAGTTACAATCACTGCCATTAAAAATATGCAAAATTATCGATATTGATTCTTAACTATATTTCTATAGATACCTAGCTGTAAGTTATGTAAGTTGATTGTAATGCTAATTTTTCCACTATTTGCAAGGCAAAATTGTGTACAACTATTTTTTTTTAGTATTTTATTAATATAAGATAATAAAATTATGAGGTTTTTGTTACTATAGGAGAACTTATAGCTGCTGCACAGGAACTGGGGGTATGTATTACACTATTAATACTAGGCAAAACTCAATTAATTGATTTCTGTACATTTTTGTCCAAATATTGCATTGTATTGTCAAAGAAAAATTCAGCAAATTTCTTCAAAATTGTTTGTTTCAACTGCTCTGTTGAGTGTTTTGCTTTAGAATTTGCAGAATTTCCGCCACTCGGAATTGACAAAGCAATTCATAGAGAAAATTTGGCAACAAAGAATATGCTAATTCTATGTTTCTACCGTGTGTATTTTTGTATTTTCTGTATCTGTATCAATGTTTTGTATATATTAGCGGTAAAGAATGAAAAGTACGAAAATACCCAGTGTGAAAACTTTACAAATCAATTATTTTTTTAAATACTTCTAAATGTTTCCTACTTTGTGTTTTTGTTCAAACAGGAAAGTTATTATAACATATTTTCATTATATTGAAAAAACTTACAAAGGAACAATTATACTGTGAAATCTTTGTATTTAAATACAAGAGGTCATATTAGTGTTCACCGTATAGGAATTGTCTTCTGTAAAATGGCTAACTCTGTCGAAAATGTTTACCTACCATAGCAAACTTTCTTAGGGTTATTTGTTATTTTTGTCTGTACAGGTAGCCCACCCTCCTGGATATCCTCTGTTTACCCTGCTTGCCTGGTTGGCTATACGGCTGGTGCCAGGTGGTAGTGTGGCATGGCGCGTCAATCTACAGACAGCCACGTTCGGAGGGCTAGCCATAGTGTTTCTGGCACTCACCATCCTCAGGTACAATTATTTTTGAAGTTTTATAAATATCAGTGACCATGACGATGTCTGATTATCAAAATTACTTCAATCAAGGTACCTTGGATCTTACATAAATTGAAATTATAATGAACCATATTTGAAAAATAATTATGTTAAAACCATAATATAAAGCTATTCTATGCAATGCATTAATCAAATTTGAGCAATGAACAGGATTTAAGGAGTTCTACTGATTTCAAAACCTGCCAAAATTAGGTAAATTTGGCAGTTTACATTCTTATACCCAGCTGTTGGCTGTCAAATGGATAATGAGGGGAGGGAACTCTGATAGACGGGGATTGGTGAAATACTGTATAAAGATACATTTGTATTTATAGACTGACCCGTCGTCCGTCAGCGGCTGTACTAGCGGTCGGAATATGGGGTTGGTGTAAGCTGACCTGGGCATGGTCTATCACGGCAGAAGTCTTTGCCCTAAACAACATGTTTGTGGCCCTGCTCATGTTGGTAGCTCTGCAGTTCGAAGACTCCACTAATCAGCACCAGATCAAGGTGGCATTTACATGTCTAGTGTTTACCAGTGTGTAACTCAAATTTCTGCCTTGTGAAGTTAGACATTTTCTCAAAATTGTTGGTGATCCTTTTGTGGAAATTGAAAAAAGAAGTTGTCATTGTTAGAAATAAATATTGAAAACTGGAATAGCCTCATAATTTTGGATTAGAACATGATGTTAGAATACAAAGGTGTCAGATTAGATAGGTTTTACTGTATTCATTTGTATGTAATTTCAGACGTCAATGCTGGGATCCTTTATCTGTGGCCTGTCACTTTGTAACCAGCATACCATGGTCGTCTATGTGTTTTGTCTGGCAGTCTGGGTTCTTTATACTCTCCACAAAAACCAGGTAAAATATTTCATCATTTACTCATGTAGGGCTCAAAGCAACCTTTCAAAATCAGGAATCCTGGTCATTTTACTGTACAAATTTTCATTCGTGTGAGTGATCCAAGCTCATAACAAACTGAGAATATACTAGACAAGCCACACGAAAAAATGTGGAGAAAAAAAATCTGCAATGTACATTATCAACTCTGCATAAACATTTCACCATTGTTCTGACAGACTACATCTTATTACCAAGGCAGATCAAGGTGTTTTCAGACAGACCATTAATTTGAAGGATTTGTATGATGCAGTGTATCCATAATGATAAAACTACATTGAAGCCTAATATTGATTTTTTTCTATTTCAAACAACTTCCTTTTGTCATTTTTCAGATTCTGACTCTCAGTGTATTGATTAAGGTTGGCCTTTCCTTTCTGGCTGGACTCTTGCCATACATATATCTACCTCTGTCCAGCTGGTTTGTGCAGTCAAGGTGGACCTGGGGTGACCAGAGGTCAGTGGCTGGACTACTGACGCACGTGTTGAGGAGGGAATATGGCACATTTGATTTGGTAGGCTGACTGCAGAACAGAGATGTGACATTTAGAACTGTTTTCAAAACTTTTCTTGCTTGATATCCATTGACAAAGCAATGTTTATCATCTAGAGTAATCAAGTATGTATTTTAATCTGTTTGCAGGGTAAAGGAGAGACTGGACAAGGATTGATATTTGGTCTCAGGTATGACAACAGGGAGAGGAATATGTTACTAATGATAAAAGAACAGTACATTTACTTTATTTTAAACTTTTATTCATAATCTAAGGCATAAAAATACAACATTTTATATATATGAGAGCAATATGTTTATGTGGAGAATCTTAAATGAGTTCTCATTTCATATGACATTTATTAAATTAGTCTAAAAAAATCAATTTAATTAGTGAGGCTCTGATCTGCCAAGTTAAAAAGAAGATTTTTCATCAATCAATTCTCACTTGACCAGAGCCTTCTTTGACCACATCTGTCTATATTATACTTGTCCAGAGCCTACTTTGACCACATCTGTCTATATTATACTTGACCAGAGCCTACTTTGACCACATCTGTCTATATTATACTTGACCAGAGCCTACTATGACTACATCTGTCTTTGTTATACTTGACCAGAGCCTACTATGACCACATGGTCAGTGACCTGACTCCAGTTGTCTGTGTCCTGTTCTTCCTGGGGTTGGTGGCTGTAACTTACAGGTACTGTTATTAAGTAATAACTTCTATTTAAATATGTTTTACCGATCCGTGTAGTTCTGAAAGTGTCAGCTTGACACTTCAATCCTTTGAGATGAGTAAGAAATACATGTAATGTGTTTTGTTTATATGTTTGTTTAGGTTATGGATTATAGAAGAAGTGTATTATATTTTTGTTAATGTCACATTTTCAGAATAGGATTCATCAGTTTGAAATTAATAATAAAGGCTAAGTTTGTTTTTAACACAAACAGGAGTTGAAAACAGCCCGGGTCAAGTTTTCAATTCCTGTTTGTGTTAAAAACAAACTTAACCTTTATAATATATGAGTTTTTTTTTTTATTGTTTTTTGGTATCTTTTCTAGATTTCGCTTTTGTATTCCATAAATATTTCCACATTATTTTCGAATGCAGCATCAAATAAAATTTGCATGCTTCAGTTATAAAAAATAATCAATCAAGTAAAACCTTTAATGCTGTCCATATAGAGAAGTTCCGCTACAATGAGCCCTAAGTACATTTCGTCACTATTTCCTTCAGGCATCTAAAGACAACGGACAGAGCCCTAACCGTATTCCTCAGTATGATGACCATATACCTGGTTTTGTTTTCTTGGCGCGCAAACCTTGATCTGAAAAATGCCCTCTACTTAGGAGTGGTAGGTATTTATACTGAAAAAAATCTGAAAAATTAGAGTAGCACCTCTTTTAAAATGTATACAGGTCTAGCCTTCAAACTATATCTTCCTGTTTAATTTCGTTTGTTGCAAGCCTTTTTAGGGAGTTTTATAATTTTCAAATTATTCCCAGTAATATTGCTGAAGAGGATAAACATATCAAATAGTATGACTGGTGATGCAGTGGTCAATCTGTGTGCTTTGTAATCAAGAGTTAAGGAGATCATATCTCCATGGTGAAGATGTTTTTTTGTAATAAATATGTTGTTTTTGTATGCAACCCTTTGTGATATAGTAACTGCGCAAGTGTTTCATTGTTGAATATATACTGTAAGTGAATACTGGTAAAATAAGTCTGTTCGTGAATAATATAAAAGCACCTGATTTAGGTTTTGATTAGTTTCAAGTCATGCTATATATTTGTAAGATGTGTTGAGTTTGTACTGTACCTGTACATCTGCACTTGTGAATAAATGCATATGGGTGTGGTTTAAACAGCGCAGAGTTAATGTAACCAATATTTATTTCTGTTAAAAAATTTCATTTAATATTTGTATTCCATTCAATTATTTTTAAATGATATAATGTATTTTCTTTATCTTTAAAAATAACTTTCCAATCGAAATAAGATGAAATTAATTCTATGTGATTAAATTAACAGTTGAAATTCTGCACAATTTGTATGTTTGAGATTTTATATCCAATTTTACACATAAATTATGGGGGAAAGAGTTGAATGGAATTTATTGTAAAGCTGTTAGCATTTCTGATCTCGTAAGAATGAGAATAAAATTTGATGTATTTTTTTTTTCAGGTGGAAAGATTCTGGATGCAGAGCGATTTGATAGTGGTTACCATAGCAGCTGTAGCCTATAGTGATGTCATCAAGTACGTTAAATCAGTAACGGTCCAACAGATTTGACATAAAATTATTGTCAAATTTTGATGTGTATAGTTGAAGCAAGTTTTAAAAAAATGGTTTAATTTCAAGGATATTAATCATATAAGGAAACATATCATCAATTCATTTACCCAGTAAATAAGAAACATATAATTCCAAATTTGTTTTTGTGCTTTGTTACAAGTACTGTGATTGGATAATAGTAGCACATGTGACCCAAACAACAGTTGTCAATATTAGTACAGCTGCTCATGTGGTGTATATTTGCAAGTAAATTATCCCCCATTCATACTTGCATGGACATTGGAAAAATCGAGATTCAGTCCTTATATACAGGTTCAATGTAAAACAGAAGTACATCTGGATGAAAAGGTGCGCTGTCTCACATTGCTTCCCTGATCGAGATCAGCACCACTATTTATATATACACAGCAGAAAATGGGATTTATGCTTATAATTAGCCATTGTCCATGTTTTACTTCAGATGTTACATTTTATGATAGTAATACTTGAAATGAATTAGGTAAATGGTCAGAACACCTACGTACTGTTAACGATCAACATAAAAGAATACCAAGTTTATCACCGTTTCATTGCTGCAGCTATTTGCTCGGGATAACAAAGATGAACACAGCCTACGTAGAGTATGCGAGACCAGACGTAATTGTAGCTGTTGTTTTATCTATTTTCCAACTGGTAAGTAATTCAGAAGATTATTTCCTTGGGATGTTTTGCTGTACTACCTTTGGAAGTTAATTTTAACTTTTTCAAACTGTATAATTCCCCTCAATGCTTATAATTAATTAGAACTATAAATATTTATTAAATTTTTGCCAGTGAAATATTGCATTCGATCAACTTGATAAAATTGATATCTTTCACACGGTGACAAATATCAAAAGTGATATTTTCACAGTGTGAAATATCACTTTTTGGTATTGACCAATCATAAAGGTATCTTCTATTCGCTGCATTCAAATGCAACGATTTTTTGTTCAGATTCAAATGAAGCGACGGTAGAAAAAGTGGTTGTTATGTTGAATGTTTGGTACACACACTTAAGTATTTAAATAAGTATACAATTAATAACATTTAACAATAAGCAATCATATCAGAAAATAGCAGAAAACTTCGGAATTGCATTAAATATTCCATTTAAAATGATGTGCAGCCTTGTTGTCAAGCGTGACGGCATTGAGATTCTCTATTAATATTTGTATACATTAAAACTGAACAATCTCACTACTAACACGGATATGTATCATCACCATAGCAACGCCATTACAATGTGAGTAATCACAGTAACAACTGGGTCATCCATGAGTTTGGAGAAGACATCCTGAGGACCATGCCGCCTAACGCCAGCATACTGACAAAGGGAGACCTTCCCTCCAACACTTTCAGGTAGACTTTCCTGTACTGCTGACATAGATAGACTAATCGGTAGTTCAGACAATACATTCAGGTAAACTATTAAGACAAAATATTTTGGCCGTCTAAGAATTTATAAAATTGCAAGCATCATAGACAGCAGTTCTATGAGGTAAAGATTTCTTTTATACCTACTAAACAATTTTGGATGAGATCTAGGCCATGACCAAGAAAAGTTTGCCTTTTTTTTCTTGTGCATGATCAAATGAAATGAAGGGGAAATCGATAATATCAGATAATATTGGTGGAAAAGTAATTCTGTTGTAAACATTTTTTCTGAATATTATACTCTTAATTAAATGATGCACATCATAAAAAAATTGTATAGACAGCTCAGTCTTTGATGTAAAGGATAAGATAAAGGATGCAGTTGATCACATTGATAATTCATGCAACATATTTAAGTATAGAGAATTCATGTAATAGACTCAGATTGATTATTTAGAAAATTGGTTCTGTAATTTAATAACTAGCTGCTTTTTTTATATAAAAGTCTTTGCATATAAAACATATCTCTTCCTAAGTAATCAGACACTAACGCTTTTCTCCTTTTACAGATATTTACATTTGTGTGAGAATATTAGACCAGACATTCAAATATTTGATCAGGAGGTAAAGTATAAATCACTTTTATGCTGTTGTGTTATCTCCCTTTGTCACCAGTGGCAAAAGATTGTTGAATTTTCATAAACAATCCACTTTATTTGCCATACTTGAGAAATATGGTCTTTTAATATTGTCATTTAACGTTATGTTATATACAATATCTTAAATCTATAAAATCAAGGTCACCCCTACGGTGTATGTACAGTATATATTTATGACTACATTGTATCATTCAAGTATCTCCCAGAGACTAATTAAGTAATCTTTTCTAATGATATCACTTCAGGTTATCTCTCCAAGTCTAACAAAACTTATTACTCAAAGACTAATAAAGAGTGTCTAAAAAGACTAATTCTGTGATCTATAAGTTTAATATCTCCCCAAGACTAATTCTGTGATCTATAAGTTATCTCCCCTAGACTTATTCTGTGATCAATAAGTTATCTCCCCTAAACTAATTACTGATAAGTTATTGCCACTAGACAAATTAAGGATTTTCCCTTAAACAAATTACTTTAATTATTTCCCCTGGATTAATTACCTAAATTATCCCCTTGGACTTCTTATCAATCATCTCCTCTAGACTAATAACTTATCTCCCCTAGTCTAATAAATTAGGTTGTCTCTCCAAGACTTAATATCTCTTGATATTATCACTCAACTACCTCCCCGCAATTTATTGCTTAAAATATCTATAAAAACTTATTACTGCAGTTATCTCCCCTAGACTGAATACATAAGTTATCATCCCTGAAATTGATATACAGTCGAACCTCGTTATCTAGAACTCTTTTAACTCGAAGACCCCGTTTATCTCGAAATATTTCTCCGGTCCCGGCCAAACCTCTTCTTTATCTTAGTAAATAAAACTCTGATAATTCGAACCCTAAAAAGTCGAAAAACTTGGATACCTCGATGTAAGATATTGGTTTCGATAGTGAAATCCAACATCAAAACATTGTCTACTGCATAGCGTTCAAATTTCCTTTTGTCACTATTCTTTGATACAAATAAAACGCAAAGGTACAACATCTTGTCATTCTGTGTTTATGAACATTGGTCACAAAGCATGGTCATGCATAAAAGAGTTCTACAGTAGAAATCACAACCTAGGACAGCTTCACGGGTTCATGTTTTTACAGGAGCCAGTATGGCTTTGAAAATCGATCAAGAGACTTAAGAACAATACGATAAAAAAAATCATACCAAATTTATGAACCCGCATAACTCGAATACTCTGATAAATCGAAAAAAAAATCACGACCCTGTCGACTTCGAACGAGGTTCGACTGTATTTAAATGATTTAAAGAAGTGATTCCAGGTGGTCTGTCAACTAATTTCTTTACCTTATCATCTGTGAAAACATAGATTATCTCCCCTAGACTGACATACCATCCTATACTACATAGATTTTGACATACGAGTGGTCAGTACCCATGCTAGGATGGACAATGCCCGGGATCACATTTCCAGGGGACATGTTCCATCTGACAAACGCCAAGAGGACGGATGGCAGAATATCTTTTACATTCAAGAGGTTTCTTGACGTCAACTATGACAAGTATGTATCAAATCCCGAGCAATACAAAATCTGTTAGTCAATTTCATTCAGTGTATGATTCCAGTTGAGCAAGTTCAAACCAGCCTAGCTCTCCTGTGAATTGAATTTGGCAATCCACAGAAATTAACCGATTCATTGAGAAGGTTTCATTTGAGGTTACGAAGTAGGTTCCAATATGACAGTCAGTGATAAGATGTCATTACAGATGGTCCCTTGATTATATGTAGATAGATGTATATTACCAGTTTTAAACAGTGTTTCATCAGTGTTATGTATTATTACCAATTCTTTGTTACCCCAACATGTAAAACTTGTAAATATATATAAAAGAGATAGTATGCATTGTTTTGCACATTTTATGACTGAAATCTGGAAAAAAATGTTTCTTTTCCTATTCAGTTTCCGGATTTACACCAATGTTCTCCCCAGGCTGTTTTAGCGTAACAGTACTGTTACGCATGCATATTGAGCTGCTACACATCATCATTTTACCGTTACACATGCATTTGACCGTTACACATCAACTGACAAGTTCTCACAAATCATGATAGGCCTAACCTCTTTTCCCTTTTCCAATTAGACTCGCTCTTATTAGACTAGCTTTTTACCTTCCATGGTCAAAATTCAACCAAAATTTTGAATTATATGGTCCCCAGCCCCAAGAGGCCTGAGGGGCGGGGCCAAAAAGGGACAAATTGAGTAAAATTTCAAAAATCTTCTTCTTAAGATCCAGATATGGTAGAATCAAATACTCTCCATAGATGGAAGCGTCTTAAGGTGCTTAACCAAAATTGTAAAATTCTTGACCCTGGGGTCTCACGTTTGTCCCTAGTGGGGTAAACTTTACTTTAGTTTATATAGGGAAATCACATTTTGGACCAACATTTGTTTAATTTCCCATGGAAGTAATTTAATTTGGGTTAGCATTATCAGTATTGGATAGCAGTTTGATGGTATGCACATATCAAAATTTATTATGGCAAATGATACTTTGAATATTACATGTTGATAACTTGATTGGAATTATAACCCCGAGTTGACAGTTTGATACTTTGAAAATTTTGAGCCAGCCCTACCACCAAGGGTGGTAGGGCGCCCAAAGGGGTCAGTGTCTAAAATTTCTTCATTTTCCTTGTTTAGAATCAGAGGTGCTAGTTTCAAATACTTTTCATTCTTAAATCTGTATGCTAGATATTGAATAAGGTTGTTTTATTGTATTGTGTCACTTTTAATAATACTTCAATGTTTTAAAAACAATTAACAACTCTCTGTATAAATATATCAGAACTTGGGTGACTGTTAAGGCCCATGGGCCTCTTGTTGTTCTCTACGATCGACACCCTGATCAACGAACTCTGCCCTGCGGGAAGATTTACCTGTGGGGATGTGAACTACATATAGGTGTGAAACGTGAACAATAGACCACAATTACCAGCGTGTAATTCGTCTAATTGTCATAATGTGTTTGTAAATTTCCGAATTGACATCATCACAGTATATTGATGTATCAATGAACTTCTAATCGTTTCTGTCCATGCACTGAAGACTTAAGTCCTATTGTGGTTTTTCTTTCCCCTGTAGAGCCCCAATTTTTGCCTGTATTGGAACACAGGAACACGAGAACTCCTGGCAGACAGGGTATACTTTGGTACCCTATGGGGTGTGCAGTCAACTTATGAAGAAGGGCGCAACTTTTGACTTGACAGCACACATCAGATCCGTCAGGAAAATCGCACAGAACTGGACGCATCCACCTGGCGGGTATTTAAATTTTTTGGAAGAATATCATAATTTGTGCACCTTATAGGTGAAACAACAAATGATAGATAGCAAGTCTTTCTCTAATTCCATATGTAAGCAGCCCTCTGTCCATAGGTACATTAGGGTCCTGCATGGGAGTATCTTCGATACCAGGAGTTATGCTCACTTTTGCTCTCTACACCCCTCAAATATGTCATAGCAAAATCGAAGGCTCAGTGCGCAGCACCTTGTGGATGAGACGAGAAGACTAGTTTGGTCCTTTGATGTACATCAAAAGAATCTTGCGGTCACGTAACGGTAAAAATTGACAGGCTTTGAAGTCGGGCCTCGTTCCTTTGTAATCTTCAAAGGACAGTTATCAGCCTAGTGATTGGTCAGGTTTTTTTTTACCTTACACCAATAAAATAGCTAGTCTCATGCCTGCATTTTTGCTATGACATATTCCAGGAGTGTAGAGTGCGAAGGTGAGTATAACCCCTGGATATCGAGGATGGCAATGGAGATGCGGGTGTCCTTTAGAAATCATGCTGTCCGGTCTTCACTGAACGCCCGTCCGTCAATCCATCCGTCCACACATTCGTTTACAGAGATTATATCAGAATCTAAATGCCATTATTTTGGAAATTTGACATGGTGGTACATAGTGATATGTAGATGTGCACAATAGGGGTTTAAACAATTCTAAGGTCAAGGTCATTTACCTAAAATAGACCATATGGGGTTGGCCTTCATCTCAGAATTCAAAAGACTAATAATTTTGATCTTAGACTAGATGATACACTGGTGTATGTAGATGTTATGTTCAATAGGGGTTTAAAAATGTCTAAGGTCAAGATCACTGTTACTAAAAGTAGACCATGGGGGTAGTCGAGCCCATTGCGGACCTCTCCATGTTGTAGTTTAGAGACTGATCGGAAGAACAAGAACCTTTGGTTTTGACGGTTTTTGTCATTTTTTATTGCTCTTTCCTCACAATTAAGTCCTTGACTGATCTTTTCCAAATTTCATTATGTAGGTTTCCTTTGATTCTTAGTTGTGCATGATCGGGTTTGACACTCCAAACAATAGTCTTTATAGGTATTTGTAAGAATTTGCATACCCTGAGGAAGATAGATCACATCACATATAAAGTGTACCATGTAAGGAAGATATCTCTGACACAAGTCACATGGTTTGATGTAGCATGTATCCCTAAGGGTAATAACTCTTAATATAACCATATTTGTAAGGCCCCCTATTACCTTAAAAGTTATGACTTAACCTTATGGAAGAAAACTTATCAGTAATTCCTGTTTGCAGATTTCCTGAAACGTCTTGGGAGCGTGTGGCAACAGATGAGATGTGGAATGCTAAGTAAGTATACTGGGTGCTCCTGATTCGTATGGACGTTTGAGGGTCAAATGTCAATACCATTTACACTTAATTACAAATAAACGAATATATAAATCACCCCAGATGTTGAAAGTTAATTATTTAATTAAAAGAAACATGTTGACACTATAATCATTACGGTGTCAACATGTTTAAATGTTTAAATCACTTCATCATTGTTAGTGGGTACTTACTGCATGTCCTCAAACAGTAAAATTTGTTTAAACTAAATACCACTGATGTAGTAAGACGAGGAATAGGGATAAAGATAATGCCGTCGCTGGGGCTCAAACCCTCCGCTCTTGGCTCTACGATGCTCTACCGCGAAGCTTAAGGGAAATTCCCTACAACTGACGCTTGTAAGAAAACCTAATCAATGCCCATCTACACTGAGACTGATAGTTTGTGATGTGAGTTTCCAGACTACTGTCGAGTTTAATTAATTCTACAAGTTAGAGCAATACTCTGTTGATCTGCAAACCATAGCAGAGGATCTGGTTTATTCAGGTTTTCAGATAAAACAAGGGTCAGTTTAGACAGGTTACATTGTGATATTGAGGATTATTATCATTACAGAATCAGCACAGCATTCTTCCTGTATGACAGGTCCCAGGCCTCTGACAACAAGCAGGAAAAAAAGGCAGCACTCATTTCTTCTTACCAGGTAAATAATAAATCCAGCAGCACTCGTTTGAGACTAGCTCCAATCCTCAAAGAAACAAGAACTGAGACATACTGTCAAAATTACATTGTACATCCATTTCTGTCCTTTTTATACACCCGTCAAATTTGGCAACATAATTATGGTATGGTGTTGGCCGGCCGGCCGGCTGGCTGGCGTAAACTTTTGTTTGTCCGGCAATCTCCTCCTACATTTTTCGCCCAATCTCTTTGAAACTAATTGGTATACATCATAATCATGATATGAAGTTGTGTCTCCCTTAAAAGAATTTTGATTCGACAATTTTCCAAAAGTTTTTGCCCTCTGTTCATTTCAGTATTTGATTTTTTGTCCGGAGATTTTCTCCTACATTTTTAGCTCACCTGGCTCGAAGGGCCAAGTGAGCTTATGGCATGGTGCGGCATCCGTCGTCCGTCCCGCATCAACTTCTTCTCAGTAACCAAAATGCCTAGGGTGATGATATTTGGCTAGAAGCATGCTTGGATGAATGACCTTCATCAATTTTCAAGGTCACATGGGGTCAAATATGTTAAAATCTTTAAACAACTTCTTCTGAATAACCGAGAGGCCTAGGGTGATGATATTTGGCCAGTAACATGCTGGGATAAAGGACTACCAAGTTTGTTCAAAGAAATGACCTTGACTTATATCCAAGGTCACAGGGGTCAAATATGTTAAAAAACATTTAAACAACTTCTGAAGAAAAACCAAGATACCTAGGGTGATGATAGTTGGCCAGTAACATGCTGGGATGAAGGGCTACCAAGTTTGTTCAAATAAATGACCTTGACCCACTTTCAAGGTCACAGGGGTCAAATATTTTAAAAACCTTTTAAACAACTTTTTCTGAATAACCGAGAGGCCTAGGGTGATGATATTTGGGCAGTTATATGCTGGGATGAAGGGCTAACAAGTTTGTTCAAATAAATTACTTTGACTTATATTCAAGGTCACAGAGGGCAAATATGTTTTAAACATTTAAACAACTTCTTCTGAATAACCAATAGGCCTAAGGTGATGATATTTGTCTAGTAGCATGCTGGGATGAAGGGCTATAAAGTTTGTTCAAATGAATGACCTTCATCTTTTTTCAAGGTCACAGGGTCAAATATGTTCTAAACCTTTAAACAACTTCTTCTTCTGAATAACCAAGAGGCCTAGGATAATGCCAGTAACATGCTGGGATGAAGGACTAACCAAGTTCAAATGAATGACCTTGACATATTTATTTTAAGGTCACAGTGGTCAAATATGTTTAAAACCATTGAATGACTTCTTCTTTATAAGCAAAAGGCCAAGGGTGATGATATTTGGCCATTAACATGCTGAGATGAAGGACTAACAAGTGAATGACCTTCACCCATATTCAAGGTCACAGTGGTCAATATATGTTTAAATCTTTAAAGGATTTGTTCTGTATAACCAAAAGGTCCAGGGTAATGATATTTTTCCAGAAGCATGCTGGGTTGGAAGACTATAAACTCTGTTCAACCTAATATTATAATGTCCTTGTTCGACATTCAAGGTCACAGGTGTCATATATTTAAATCTTTTAATAGGTTCTTATGAATGAAACACTGATATTTTGCCTGTAGCTGTATTTTAGAGATGCAGGCCCATTGGGCCTCTTGTTTATAGCATGTCAGCTAATCACTCTTAGAAAGATGCAGATCTTATTTCAATGTAAGAAAGTATATAACACTATATGACATTCGACGGGCGTATATTGTTCCGCCCCGCGAAACTCTTGTTTTTATGTTAGATATACTTTGCCAGTAACAACATATTTCCAAGATCCCAATATCAAGATGGCCATTGTCGCTTCTGATAAGCTGAGACATATATGGCTGAAGGTTTTGTTCTGTCAAAACAATAACGTACATACTAGATTGTAAATGGTACTAAGAAATCCCACTTGGTCAATAATAACATGTTATTTAGATCCATTAAACTGAGATGGTCTACATTGCTTCTCATTAGCTGGTATTTTTATTTTGTTTGACTTTTTTAGTATAGGAGGATTGTAGGAGGCCTGGTAGGACGCCGGGCTCGTGAACGAAGGGTTGCGAGTTTGCGTCACGGCACGCCACTGTGTTGTATCTTTGAGCAAGATACTTTATTTCGCTTGTTCCAGTCTACTCAGCTGTAATTGAGTACGTGGTTGATCAGTGCTAGAATTGTTGAATGCTAGCTGTTAGCAGCCGAAATGGCAGCTCCGGCTATATGCTCCCCAAGGGGTTGAGAAAGTTATTGGCTGGTTGCAAAGGCCCTATAACCACTGATAATAATTTGTGAGCTGCTTTTAGGCGACCTACGAACTAGGTTGTGATAAAGCGGTATATAAGAACCTCAAATTATTATTATTATAAGGTACCTGTCAGATCACAAATGTCACACATGATCACTGCACTTACATTAGGTTATTTGGGGACAAATATTATATGGTTATAGCATATTACAGCCCATTCTGACATGTCAGTGTCTTGTTTACTTAAATGTTGCTGTTTTATGTTTTGTTTTTAGAAAATGTATAGTATTTCATGGGGACATAGTTTTGTTGAAAATTTGTTCTGAAGATATATTTCTAATATAAAGATATATATGATTCTGGAAAGGTGTAACACATAGACATATACGTCTATCCTAAACTTGTGATCCGTGTAACAGTATGTGTACTTGTAAGTGAAGGTCAACGTTTCATCTCATCAAAGTCATCAGAGATATTCAAAGAACTATATCAAATTAAGTGTTTAAACTGTATATTATCATTAACAATGTATAATAATTTGCAGCAATTGTTTTGGTCAGGAATTTTGTGGAATACAAAAAATCTACGGAAACTTTTCACCGGTACGTAATTCTTAATGATTTCACAGTAAATGTAAATCTTCCATTCCCCAGTTGTACACGGAAGCCCTGAAGAACAATCCTGGGTTTCCGGCCTACTGGCACAAAAACTATGCACTGGCCTGTGAGAAAATGCTACATACACCTCACGATTACGACAAGCAGAGCTTGGCCCGTAAAGTTGTCCATCACTTTGAGACATTCCTGAAACGTGACCCCAATGATCCGGACAAACAACCAATCACGGAAATCATCGAAATAATGAAACAGAAGCTCAAATCCTGACAATGATATGTTTTTGGTGTTGACAATTAGTGCTTGCATAATGATTTAGATTTATTATCAGCTGGTGACACAACCATGTGTTTATAAACATGCTTCATATATCTTTACATAAGAATGCTGGATTTAATATTTATACATATTTTTGTTTGTACGAGTATATATAGGATCTTGAATGAGTTTTCATTCCATATGAGATTTTATGAAACGAGTCTTAGGAGTTTTCATTCTTTGCGAACCTTGGCGAGCAAAAATTAAAACTTTGAATTGAGTTTCATAAAAGCTTGTATGAAATGAAAACAAATTTAAGATACTTTTTATTACATAACTCAGAAAACTTACATTTTGACAGGTTTTAAAGCCATATTGTAGAGGAGTTATCAAACAGAGACAGCCATTTTGTTAGCCATTCACAATTTATGACGTCTAGTCTTTGTCCATATTATGAGGTCACAGTCGATTTCTGACTGGCAGAGCCAATGAAAAATGCTCCAGTATATTACACAGGATAACAGGCCGATTATGTGATGAATAAATATGTTTTACTGTCACTATGATAGCCATTGCGTGTTTGTTAAAAAGACGAAGTCTGTAAATGTCTTATTAAAGTTACATCTAATGTAGTTCAGGTCTGTGACAAAAGTGGACGTTTTCTCATTCTCTCCTGTCCTTACCCAGAACACTGATAATCTACCTTATATTAAAGATCCCTGTACCACCATGTTCACTACTTTATTTTATTTCAATTTTGCGTTTGTTTAAATATAGGAGCTGGTAAAGTGTTTTTTAAAAATAAGTTGTGATATTGGTATTGATGAGAGTGATTCAAAGAAAATTCATCAGACTAGAGTTTATTTAGTCTCCTGTGTTTTTGTGTTTTTAAGTATACTTTTATAAGTAATCAGGTTTTTTTTGCTTTTAAATACCTGTCATTTCCATCTTGGAAAGCAAGACATAATGTATAATGTAACTATGGTAACATACTATTCAAAGTATTCTTGTGTGCTATACAGTTTTTGAAAATTATAAACGTAAGTGACATAAGTTTAGTCTCATTATTTTCTCATTATCAATGAGGAGGTAACATTTAGTTTTAAACAGGGTTCAAATAGCTTAATAATGATCAACTTCAAAAATCTTTCATTGGTGAATTTTTGTCACCAATATATTACCATAAATGGTCTCATAATGATCATATTCATGTATCTGTCTTTTCACGGTCATCAAATAACCCAAGATACTTATACATGTATAACGATACTGTTGTCTGTAAGGCTATTGGTCTATCTATCTATTATACTCCACAGACACCAAACTGTTTTTGAAGAATTGTCTGTAATAGAAAATGAAGCACAGTCAATACATGTAAAACTGTATATGATAGTGACCAATCCTTCCAAGAAAATTTTGTATGAAATTATCTGAGGGATTTAGATAAATTTGTGTGAACAATACTGTAATAAGAAGGGCAATAACTCTGTCAAAGATCAAGTATTTATTTCTACATGTAATATCTTAATTTACATTAAATTTAAGAGGATGTTGAAAGTACTTTCATTTGCTGTCAATGTGGCACTTTTCAGTGTTTCTATAAATGTACCATAACGTGAACAACAAGATAGTAATGCATGTGTAAGTCACAAATAACTGGAATTTTGAAATAATTTTATTTTTCCTCAACAATGTTTGTATTTTCTTCAACGTGGATTAAGATACATGACTTGTGATAACATAATGACTCCCGGCTGAGTTTGGCAAACAACCTAAGATTATGAAACAGTTTTCCCTTTGAACAGAAAATATCCTGTGATTAAAATAAAAAAGAACAAGATAGCAATGTTCATTTCTTCAAGTGAAATAAATTATTTTCGATACTACAACTTTTTTTCAGAGTTTTTATTTCACCCCTAGAAAAAATACCATTTACATAGAAATTAACTTGACAAAATATATCTCAATAAATCCTTCTAAGTCTTTGTGATGAACACTCCTCACAAAATAATGCAAACAAAAAAAAATAATTAAGAAATACCATACACAGAACTTTTTGTAAGGTACATGTATTGACACAATTTTCTTTACTTGCATGACCTGTGATTTATTTATTATTTATAACTGCAACAAAATAACACAGGATATATTTCTAATGACTTAATTGCAAGTAACAGAAAGTACCTACATGGTAGATTTTGAAAAAGAAAACAATATTGCTTACATGTATGACAGCTTTTACATTATATAGCAGTTAGACTGACATCATCCTTGATACTCCAGGGGTTATGCTCACTTTCACTCCTTGCACCCCTGGAATATGTCATAGCAAAATTGAAGGTTCAGCTTGCGCCCACTTGTAGATGAGACGAGAAGACTAGTTTGATCCTTTGATGTACATCAAAAGAATTTCGTGGTTGCATACGGTAGAATTGACTGTCTTTGGTGTCAGATGTTGCTCATCTGTAATCTTTCAGCCCTCGATTGGTCAGGGTTTTTTCACCCGAGACCTATCGAATAGTTAGCTGCATGCCTTCAATTTTGCAATGACATATTCCTGGGGTGCTGAGAGCGTAAATGAGCACAACCCCTGTGTATCGAGGATGGGCCGATATAAGTTGTGTAAAACATTGTTTGCACATTCTTATATGACAAAGCAAAAGTTTATTCAAATTCTTCTCTGAAGAAAAACGTTGCACAAAAAATGTAACCTGAATCGCTCACCTGGTATTAATCTTACTTATTATCTCAAAAGTGGACTAAAATAAAGCTACAGGCAAAATAACAGTGTTTGATTTAAAAGATATAAACATGCGATACAAAGTCAAACAATGACATTTAGTTTAACAGTGTATAGCCTTTCATACTACCAGCATGCTTCTGACCAAATATCATTACCCTGGACCTTTACATTATTCTGAAGTTGTTTAAAGATTTCAAAATATTTTATCCTTGTACATGTAACCTTGCAAATTGGTGAAGGTCATTCATTTGAACAAACTTGGTAGCCCTTCATCCAAGCATGTTACTGGCCAAATAGCATCACCTTAGGCCTCTTGGTTATTCAGAAGAAGTTGTTTAAAAGTTTTAAACATATTTGATCCTTGTGACCTTGAAAATGGATGAAGGTATTCATTTGAACAAACTTAGTAGCACCTCATGCCAGCATGTTGCTAGCCAAAACATCATCACCTTAGGCCTCTTAATTGGTTATTCAGGGGATTCGTTAAAAGATTTTAACATATTTGACCCCTGTGACCTTGAAAATTGATGAAGGTTATTTATTTGAACAAACTTGGTAGCCCTTCATCCCAGCATGCTTCTGGCCAGTTATCATCATCCTAGGCCTTTTTGTTTTTGGTACTGAGAAGATGTTGTTTAAAGTAAAAAGTTGATGCCAGACGGATGACGAACGCCGCACCATGGCATAAGCTCACTTGCCCTCTAGGCAGGTGAGCTAAAAATGTATATTATTACACAAAAAATTAAAGTTCACAAAACACTGCTTTAAATATTAATAATAATTAAACAGTCTTTCAGACAGACAATGAATCAATAGGGTATATCTGTAGTATTTATTTTTTCATTCATAAAGATATAAATTATTCTTTAGAGTCTAGATCTGTTCCTATCAAGTGTACGAGAACTATCACTTTTGGTGCATACAAGTAGCCTCCCCTAACTGCCTTGAGGACAGACTAATCTTTTCCCCTCTAATGTACTAAAACTATTACTGCCTTCTATGGAGGGCCCAAGGTGTTGTATCATTATTGAAGAGTGCCATGACTTTGTCCTTCAGTTCTTGCACTATTTCATCCCTCAGAAAAATTTTGAGGCTAGGACTTTTGAAAGGCTGGGTATCAATCCTAAATAAACATCACTAAGATCAAAACTGGATGGGTGACCATTCACAAACACATATATCTTTTATTAGGGCTGCTCAACACTTCATAATACATACTAATTATTGATAACTACTGGGAAAAGTACCAACATATTTGATGTCAAGTTATCAAAGCCCAATATTTACAATTGTAGCTTTTAAATTCAATTAAGTATCGAGAGGTGAAACTGTGAAGTGGAACCCCCATCTAGTTACCCCTGATATACATGTAAATCAAAAATGTTTTATCAATTAACAGAGCTTGCAGCCGATCTACTGAACTGCTTCACCAAGATCAGAAACTGAAGTCTGTCTATAACTGATGTTCGAGTGGTGTATTTCACTAGACAAAATAGGAGCTTCTATGTTGAGTAGATCCTGGTAACACCAGTCTAATCTATATGTCCTCACTGAGGTCTACCATGGAGATATCGGGATCTGTGACGTCGAGGAAGCAGCAGCTGTCGTCGCCCATCCAGATCACATCGTCGTCGACCTCCTCCAGTATCTGTATGTCGTCGTCAATCTCTATCATCCGGTACTGTTTATTTTCATTGTCCTGTTCATTTTTAACAAACTGAACACATCTTGAGAAACTTTTCTGTAGTAGATCAGATGGAGAGTTCACGTCCATTTTCCCCATTTTGTTACTGTCGCTTGGGGAGAAAAAGCTCAATTTTGATGATTTCTGCAAATCTGGCGGGGATTTTGGAGGCAGTTTCAATGCTGAAGGTGAATCAACAGTCAATTTTTGTTTGGCGCGTGGTGAAAGGCAGAATAAACGTCTGTCATCAACACTGCTGCCTTGTGCCTCTTGATCCCCTGGTTCAGAGCGTGTTGGCGAGTAGCAATTCATCTTTCTGAACTTTTCTGTAAAATCTAGAGTTCCATTTGCGTTTGGATCAGTGTTCTCCTGGTTACCATTACTGCCCTCCGCTTCCTCCTTCCCTGGCAATATTTCAGCCGATTTGGAATCATTTATATCTTCATTTTCATTCGGTTTCCTGGACGACTGTCTGGTAATAGAGTTGGATTTCCAGGCCTCGTCTGTGATGCCCAGCTCTTGAAGCATGTAGCGAGGACGATACTTTATGACCACACCTCCAAAATGGTCTTTTCCAACCTGGTACTTTATCATTGTTTTCCTTTTGTTATGGTTCTGGGTAATATGACCCAGACTTCGACCTTCTCGAGTCGAAACACCAACATTTCCTGAAACAGATAGAAATACCAGTATTTCAACTATGTGTATTGCAGAGTTATCTTCTCTTCTGAGCAGGTATTGATTGTTACGTCATTGGTTTGTGTGAGAAAATTATGTCGTTTTCTCAAAAATTTATGACGTTACTCTCACAAACAAATGATGTAACAATCAATAATACCTGCTCACAAGAGCAGATAACTCTGCAATACGCAATATTCCTGATATCAGATACATTGAACATGTATTTATTTACAGTCTAAACTGAAATCGACTCTATAGCATTTGTCAGGCTCATTAGCATCACAATCCTTGATTAACTGACTAGACTGGATTAAAAGTAAACCTATACCATATCATATCAAAGTCTGAAATTTTGTAAATGAATACAATTCAATAATTACTGTAAAATCTAACATTTGACATGAACTTGACATCATGTTATTGATGACTTACAGATAAATGAATGGTTTCCACCTTTCATGATTAACCAATTAACATACAGCATGTATCAACTGATTCTTACAACTGGCAAGCATGTATCTGCCATGTTAGAAAATAAGCAGTTGCATGCACATCAAAAATCCTTTTAATAAATTTTTTGAATTTAATCGCTTTATGTTACAGGCATGCTAGGTGATTTTGTGATTCTGAGGGATGCTATTCAATATTAAAGTGTTCATGAATTATACAAGTACTTAGTCTTAAAAAAATAATACTAAAAGCTTTTTTGTAATATCAATCACATATTTCAGCTACTCATTTCAGGGATTCTGAAAAAAATAGTATTGCTCTGAAAAGCTACAAGATAGCACCCCAGAATCTCAACATATCAAAAGTTTTCCAATGTTGGTAGGGTGGGGGTGGGGAACACACCCTCTCCCCATAGGATGGGTAGATGATAAACTTCATGCACATATCATTTACAGTCAAGCTACACGCCTGACTGGGACCAACCATGTTTCTTTGACGACTGGCATAAGTTTGGGCATGCAGAGAGTTCCGATGATTTGGATTCAAAGAACTTGGTTGCGCAGGTGGTATAGGTACCGAGTTCCCTGGCCTCCAAACACTCCATGCTGATGGTGCCCTCCAACTTACTGTCCGTCTTATTATAGGCCCTCTGTTTCTTTTTCTCTGGCTACAAAAATAGAAACCAATTTTGATAGTGGCAATTATATATGTCAGTAGTAACATATTTGCCTTTCCTGCTTTTGGAATTTACATGTCACTGTTGATTACTCAAAAACCTGTTTTGAATATCTGAAATATGTCCACAACAAAGGCCTACAAAGCCTAAAAACCTGTCTGGTGGACTGATCAACTTTTTTGTTTTGTTTTGTTTTGTTTTGTTTTGGGGGGGGGGGTTCGGGAGGGGGGCTCTAGGGGTTCATTTCGAGAGTGGATGAGCATTACAACCATTCTGAATACATAAAATTACACTGTTTGACTTTTATGACAATACAATCATTTTGTCATCTTCCCCTAGGCCAACCCTTTAATCATGATTGTTTGTCTTTTCATGCTCAGCAATATATTATATACTTATACTTATATATTATATTATTATATACATGAATATGGCACAGGGATCTCATACATCCCCTTTTTGTAGTCTCTTAAAGTTGACAACCAGCAATTTCCCCATACTATACCCGCCCCTCAGCCCTATGGGGACCCTACCCTTTCTTCATGTTTTATTCCATGGTCCCAAGGATGAATCTGGTTGGAAGCTAATCAGTCATGCAGGAGAAATAAGCTTTTAACGGAAAATGTTAACTGACGAAAGAGATACAAAGTCTGATACCACGCCATGGCATAATTTTAACCGTTCTTTGGACACATAACTAGATTATATACAGGCCTTGAGGGCCTTTTGCTTATTTATTTATCCTCTTTACAAAATGTAACTTACCGAACTGCTCTCATCCATCCTTGGTAGGGTGAAGAGCAGCTCTCGAACCACATGCTGGTTTTTGCACCCATTAACCCTGCTATAACAAACATTTAGTATTTAGTACATGTTGACAACACACCTCAAAGTCAAGAACACATATATCGGAGTCAAAAACATATATGTCAAATTCAATAAATCAAAATTAATCAATGATGATAATGACATCAACTATGGATTAATATTGGGCATTACAGATTCTGTGCCATAGTATTCAAGTGGTATAACACTATAAAATATATATAAATTATGATTATGAAAATAATTCCACTTTGCCTAATGATGATCTACACCAAATGCGCTTAAAATCACTCCATTTGAAGAAGAAGAATATGGAGTATTTTTGACATTAAAATATCCCTACATTCCCTGCCAGTGGCCTGCTCCCTTTGTTGGGAGGGGGAGGGGGGCTGCACTCTCCATTTATACAGAATTGACTCCCCTTTCCTAAGGGTTGCTTACACCTTTCTCACGGAAGAAGTAGGATTTTAATCATTTATCCCTATTTGCCCTATGAGCCACGCCCCTATACCCCTAAAGGGACAACAGTGACACCTTCAGTTTACACAAAACTGAGTCTCCTCTGTCATAGGATGATCTAGACCAATTTGGTTACAATCCATCCATTCGTAAGGAATAAGAATGATTTTAAAAATCTATCACTTTGCATCTCCTTATGGAACCCCGCTTCTATGCCCCCAGGGGAGCCGACCTTTTTGTTTACACAAATATTGAGGCTCCCTTTCACAAGGATGCTGACCACCTCCGGACTAAATTTGAATAACATCCCTCCAATTTCATCACTTTTTTCTCCCTAGTCCAGACCATTTGCCCCCTGAGGGGGCCACACTCTTTGTTTATACAAAATTGAGTCCCCTTGCAAAAGGATGCTCAAGGCAAAATTTAGTCGAAATCCATTGAGCCTCATAGATGATGACTAAAAGTTTTTTAAAGGAAAAGTTGACAGATGGACAAAAGACGCAGCGCCGGGCCTTGGACTATGTGAGCTAAAAGAGAGGGGGAGAGAGAATGAAACGGACAAATGTTGCAATGGTTGAAGCAGATTTTTTGAGTAGAGGACACAAAATAATTCCTGAATCCTGCAGGATTCTCACATTAATTGCCTCTTACAAAATGCAAAATATCTTCAGATTGACCGAACACTTTACAGCACTTACAATCCCTGTCGACAGCGCGGAGGAAATGGCTTCATCCAAATTTGGTGTCCATCAACACACATCTTAAGATACAAGGGGAAGTTATAGGTGTTGTTTAGAAATCCATCTACATAAAATGGAGTCACAGGGTACTTCTGCAAAAGAAATAAAAATATGTTTTACACAAATATATATTTACAAATGAAAAACCAAGTAGACTATTGATCTATTTTCAAGTGATTTTCTTTTTAAAGGAAAACGAAACAAAGTCGTTTTTAAAAGAAGATTGTATCATTAAGTTGATAACAAAAGACATTAAATATAAGTAGAACTAATTCTTTTTAAAAAATAATGATGAAAAAAAAATCGGAAATTTTACATTTATGAAAAATGAAAATAAATATCTAACTGTATGCTTTTTGTAGTCAACATTACTATAAACCTTATTGTTTTATGCGACTTTGCTTCAATTTAATGAAAATTGAAATCTAAGAAAATATAGCTCATTACGTACGTACAACTAAGCTGTATAATGTGTAGGTGAATATATCTCAATCGGCAGTGTACTGGACCTGTTGAGACCAGTCTGACTGTATTCATAAAACCGCTGGCATGCTCAAACTTAGATTCTGTGCTCAAAGTTCTTTTTTTTTGTGACTCACTCAAATAAGGCGACATGTTCAACAAGTCGACTGAAACTTTGAAAACAGTGTGCAACTTTTAAGTCTTTCCATAATTCTTTCAAAACACTGACGAAATGTGATATTTAATTACTGACGAAACAAGAAATAGGACTTGCCAGGCTATGACGAGCACTGTCTTAAATAATCCATCAGGTCTAGCGATTTTACACCTAATACCACGGAATTAGAATGTTATCTAAGTCCGTGCTAATACCGAGCACCTGTATGGCGGTGCGGGGCCTGTCACGCATGTTTTATGCAACTTTCACCTGTTTGTTTCCTTCGGCATCCTTCTCCTCAATGCAGTACGACGCTTCTGAGTGAAGGTCAGATTCTACATAGAGCTCAGAATCAAATGTGTACTCTTTCAGAGGCTTGTCATTCACATAAACATTGAAATAAAACAAGTCGCACTTCGGCATTTTGAACAGTTCAATCTTTCGCGGCCACTACCGGGTTTCCGCTGCAAAACGTTCTTCCGATTGGTCTGATTATCAGAATAGTATGAGTTCCCTCCCTTCTGCTTCCTATTAGACTTGCATATGTCAATTGTATTAGTGAAGGAACAATTTCATCATGTAAAACTCCTTGCTTAAATGCGTGGGAAAAGTTGTGTGCCTATTCTTTTTTCAAAGAGACATCTAATTACAGTAAGGTTAATACACATTGATTTTAATATTCACAGCTAATTAAATGTGCCTTACGTTGAATTGAATTTAATTGTAATGTATTGTATGCAACTGCGGATCCAGGCAGGGCCGGAGGGCAACGGTATCCGTCCCTTCTAAAACGACCAATTTCGCTGGAAAATATATTTCCAAAATTGTTGTTACCGGCACAGCTCAGTGTTAAATTACTGGATTTTATTTTCACAAGTGGAACAATTAACCTCAGAGTGTTGAAATTCACCTCTGAACCAGAATACGGCTTTCATTTGTAAAAAGGTGACATTCCAAAAAGTAATGAAAGACATTATCACAAGGATGACCACAATTACAAACTGCACATTCAACAAGGTTCACTCTAAAGTATAGAGGTCGTAATTAAGGGAACTAGCTGCACTTGTGTCTTAGTGTGCACAATGTTACGTTTAGGATTTCATAATTTAAAAATAGACATGTGGACTTGACTATATATTTGAGGCTGAACAGGATTTAAATGAATTTATAGAGGGCAATGATCGAACCGAATGTTATAGGTTATTCCAACAATGAAGAATAGGTCGAAGGTATAAAAGAAGAGTTAGTAAGAGACAGTCTGAAAGGAGAAATCCTATAGTTAATAGCATTACGTAAAGCGTTACGGTTATTTTCTCCAGATAAAGGCGGCAAAAGTCAAGAGTTCATTTATTATATGCGTCTTATACAACAGGTGAAGTTTCCTCCGGTTTTTCTCTCTCGATTACATGAAGTTTCAAGACCAATTTCGTAACATAAAGTATTATTTGTAACTTTTCATATTCAAATTTAGTGCCGCCGTCCCACAACTCACAAGCATATTCTAAAACCGGTAAAGTACAAGTCTTGTAAATTATCAAAGAGCATCGATCCTCCTTAATAAGTGTTTCAGTTTCCGTAAGCCATTAATTTTTCTCACAATAAAAGGGTAAATCCCATTTACATGATCTCCCCATTTCTCATTTGAATTAAAAGTTATCCCTAAATGTTTATGATAATCTGTAAAGTTTAAGACTTTCCCATCAAATTTTAAGTCTTCGGCGATATCTATAGTAGAACTAAACAATACATATTGAGTTTTTTCAGGATTAAAACTAACCAACCAGGTTTTGGACCAAGTATTTAGGAGCTGAAAGTCTCTATTATAAAATCTGGAGTTTCTAGATAAGATGATGATGTCTTTAATAATGATGCATCATCTGCAAACAGACGAGATGTTGATTCAAAAATATCTGCTATGTCATTGATAAATAAAGGAAATAAAAGTGGTCCAAAAATAGAGCCATGTGGAACTCTGCCTCAATTCGACCAACAGAAGAATATGAACTATTTAAAAAACCTTTGTGTATCTGAGACAAATAATTGTTTAACCATTTCAATTTAAGCAATGCATCTAAAATTCCGTACGATTTTAACTTCACCATATAAGACCTATATGCCAAACGCTATCAAATGAGTTTGATATGTCACAGAAAACAACACTTGTATGTTTTCTTTCCTCAAGTGCAATACATATTTGGTGATAAATATCACGTAGAATGACTATGCGTAAAACCAGACTGATACTTGTAAAACAAAGAGTTTTCTATAAAGTAGTTGTACAAATATTTAAAAATCACTCTTTCCAAAACTTTACCAACAGTGGACAGCAAGTAAATTGGTCTATCATTGAGTTCGAAGGCGAATGTTTGTCATCCTTTTTGAACAATGGTATGATATTAGCTATTTTCCATTTAGTTTGATGATTCCATGTTAATAATTATAAGGACATATTAAATATTATTTCTTAAGGAGTACAAACATTGTGGGTAGTATGCGTGACTGATTCTATTTAGAAGTACATGTATATATAGGAGTCATTTTGTTGTGTTCATAATCACTACTTTACTATATATAGTATCAGCCTATTTATATTATAATCATGAACCAAAGCACAGGGACCTGAGGATTTGTTACAGCCATATTTGGACCTAAACTAAAGTGTCCGTGTACTTTAACATGTTTTAAGGGTTTAGATAAACTTTCGGTATAAATGTCACCCTCGTACTATCACTGGATATGTCATTTTTACCGAAAATTGATATAAACCCCTAAAACGTGTCAAAGTACTCTGAACACCTTAAGCTTACTTAACCCTATCACCCATATATATGTAACTTTAGTAGACTCTACCATACATTGCTATGGAGGGGTAGATTGTTGTCTACAGTGGTGAAAGGGCTAAAAGGTCCAAATTTAGCTGTAACCACGGAATTAGATTATCTAAGTCCGTGCTGTAACAAATTCTCTGGTCCCCGCTGTGGCTCGACGTTTGATCAGCAATGACAAAAAAAACTTCAATATTTATTATTATAACAATCATTTGGTATTATAAATATATGTAGACTAGACTAGTTTATTTTTCCCAGCTGAGCGTAACCATAGAAAATGTCTGTAGGTAACTAATCCTTACGGAATTAATTAATTTCCACAAATCAGAAGGACAGAATATCAATGTGCGGTTAAATTACATGATTTAGAATAATTTATATCAACCACAGCCACTCCGTTTTGTTTGCCGTTCAGTTTCTCAATGGTTTTTGCCGATCTGGGGAGCCTGTTCGTTTATGCGGAACAACCGGTTTGACCGTTTATAAATGTAACAATTTCGGGTACCAACCTTATTTAATAAACGAACAACATTGGTCCGACCGGTTTGACCGTTTACACGAAAACGGCTCTGTTCTGTTCACCGTTCCGTACTCCGCTTCGTGTTTACTGACAACAATGGCGGCGACCGTGAATAACAACGTGCATGAAGATATGACAGAAGATATGGGTAGGCCTCATGTGTATAGTTGTGTCACCTCTTCATATGTTGCTTGGACTGGTTACTAGCGCGATCTTCCTTTGCTGAGATTACTTGTCATATACTTAAACCGATGATCGGAAAATAATTTGAAATACAGCGGGCACACATTAAAATACAATTTTCTGCATAGTTTAACTGTTTCATTTATTTTGGGGTGGGATAAACATAAGGATTCCTCATCTCTACACCCCCTCCCCCNCAGGGACCAGTTTGGCCCATTTTTAGCTCACCTGCCCAAAGTGCAAGTGAGCTTATGCCATGGCGCGTCGTCCATTAATTATCCATTAATAATTGGGCAAAACTCTGGAAAATCAATTTTAATCCTCAAAAAACTATTGCATTAACTGTAACTAAGAAAAATAGACAGCATCCATTACTTATATTTGATAATCAGATAATACATGAAAATAATTCTCATAAACATCTTGGAGTAGTATTTAATACTAATGGTTCTTGGGGTGATCATGTTAAATACATTTATGATAAATCATGTAAAAGATTAAATATTCTGAGTATGCTAAAACATAAAAATGATAGGAAATCTTTAGAATTACTATATCTCTCCTTCATTCGTCCTACTTTAGAATATGCCTCTTCTGTCTGGGTTAAAAGTTATATTGAGGAAGAAAAACTACTGGAATCCGTTCAAATTGAAGAAATGAAAATTGTAACTGGCCTTAGAAATGGTACATCTCATCAGAAATTATACTTTGAAACAGGTTTTGAAAAATTAAAAGATCTACGGAATAAGCATAAACTTATCTAAATGTATAAAATCCTTAATCACTTAACACCTAATTATTTATTTGACATCATCGAACCTTATATTAATATTAAAGTCAATCACCATTTACGGACAAATAGATTTTTTAGCTCACCTGGCACGAAGTGCCAAATGAGCTTATGCTGTGGCACGGCGTCTGGCGTACATCCAGCGTCAATATTTTACGACTTCTTCTTAATAACCGAAAGGCCTAGGGTGTCGATATTTGGCCAGAATCAAACTGGGATGAAGGGCTACAAAAAAAATTAATGACCTTCACCCATTTTCAAGGTCACAGGGGTCAAATATGTTAAAAAACTTTAAACATCTTCTTCTCGATAACCAAACTGCCCAGGGAGATGATATTTGGCCAGTAGCATGCTTGGGTGAAGGGCTACCAAGTTTGTTCAAATGAATGACCTTCACCCATATTCAAGGTCGCAGGGGTCAAATATGTTAAAAACTTTAAACAACTTCTTCTGAATAACCAAAATACCCAGGGTGATGCTATTTAGTCAGTAGCATACTAGGATCAAGGGCTACCAAGTTTGTTTAAATGTATGACCTTGAATTATATTCAAGGTCACAAGTAGCAAATATGTTCAAAATATTTAAACAACTTGTTCTGAATAACCAAAAGGCTCAGGATGTTGATATTTAGTCAGTCGTATGCTGGGATCAAGTACTACTATGTTTGTTAAAGTGAATGACTTTGACTTATATTCAAGGCAGTGCTCCAGATAACTTTTGAACATGTGTTTTTTGTTACCCCTTCCTCTCCAAAGTGGAGGGGTGAAAACTTAAATTTTGAAAGATGAAGTGCTTTAAAAGCAACGTTACCTGAAAATGTTGTAAGACGTTGAATCATTGTATGTGTTAAACTTTTAATATAGGGTGAAGAATGACTCAAATTCATATTTTTGTGTTGTCTAGACACAATCACAGTGAAATGGAAATAAAATGCCACATATCTATTTAAAATGGGGTCGGAAAATATCATAATAGGGTGTGGATGGAAAAATCATTTCCCGTGGTTGACGTCACGGTCCAGACTGTTGGTCGAACGGATGGCCAAACCTTGTTGAACTTGAAATGTTCGTCGTGCTCCAAACACAAGAAGGTCAACGTTTTCACAATGGGCTGCTCGAATATTCAAAAAAGTGCCCTTACCCGACACGAACAATCAGAGTATCACTTGTCCGCTACAAAATTTGTTCAACATAATGACTTTGTTTGACTTTCAATCACAGGGGGGAAATGTTTTTAAAAAAAATAACAGGTTCTTTTGAATGAATTTTAATCATAAATACTGATATTTTGCCTGTAGCTTTATTTTAGATCACTTTTAAGGTTACAAGTGTGAGATTTATACCAGGTGAGCAATGCAGGCCCATTGGGCCTCTTGTTAACATTCCTCATTCTAGAACATGTATCTACAACTGTAGTTTCTTTCCTGATGTCATGCGCCTATGGAACAATCTCGATCATTCAGTCACTTCTCTGACTATCAATTCTTTTAAAAAGAAAATTAATAAAATTCAAACACCTCCCAGGAACATTACGGAAGACTTCATCACCTGTAAACCAAGAAAACTAAATATATTAGTGTGTCAATTACGTAATAATGCTAGCAATTAAATTTTGATAAATGCAATGATCACTTGATAGTTGATCCATCTTGTTCTTGTGGTGCATCTTGTGAAAATGCTGAACATTATTTCTTCTTCTGTCCACTTTATACTAACTATAGACATTTCATAACTGACATCACTAATCATTTTGGATATTCATCTGTTGGATCTACTTACATCTAGTAATGCTTATCTTTCTACTGATGATAATTTATTTATTCTCTCAAAAGTTTATCAGTACATTTCTGCTACTTACAGATATAATTAAAATTAGGACTGTTTTCTTTGCCTCTTATACTTATATATATTTATATGGGGCAAAAAAGTAATTCCAACAGTGTGGACAAGTTTAGGTTGTCAAATTTTCGGAGCGATCCGCCTTCTTTGACCCATATATTTATTTATATGTATATATATATATATATATAATTTTATTTTTTATTTTTATAATTATATGATTAATAGGCTTTTGAGTAAGGGCTTGTGTGTGTGTGTGAATACTTATTTATTATGTGTGTATGTGAGTGTGTACGTGTGTTATGGAATGGTTGTAAGTGTATATGAGTGTGTCTTGTTGATCTATGTACTAAATCTATGCTTCTTGTCAATCAATACCGGATAGGAGAAGACTTATAGGCTAAGCCTGTTGTCTCATCCAATTGTGCAATTATTTTGTCCAATAAAATTTGTTGAAATCGGAAGTCATCCGGCGTCTGTCAANGAAGCATCCTTGGGTAAAGGGGAACCAATTTTTGTATAAACCGTGGGTCTGGCCCAATAGGGGCCTGAGTGACGGGGCCCAATAGGGGAAACATAGCAAATTCTTTAAAATCCTTCTTCTTCTGTAGGAATGAAAGGATTTGTTCCATATTTGGTCTGAAGCATCCTTGGGTAAAGGGGAACCAATTTTGTATAACTGTGGGTCTTGCCCCTTAGGGGCCTGAGCGGCGGGGATCAATAGGGGAAACATATCAAGTTCTTTAAAATCCTTCTTCCTCTGTAGGAATGAAAGGATTTGTTCCATATTTAGTCTGAAGCAGCCTTGGGTAAAGGGGAACCAATTTTGTATAAACTGTTGGTCTGGCCCCTTAGGGGCCTGAGCAGCGGGGCTCAATAGGGGAAACATAGCAAATTCTTTAAAATCCTTCTTCTTCTGTAGGAATGAAAGGATTTGATCTATATTTGGTCTGAAGCATCCTTCGGTGAAGGGGAACCAATTTTGTATAACCCCCATGGACCTAAGGGGCGGGTCCAAAAGGGGGCAATTGCGCTATATTGATTTAAGCGACTTCTTTTCTGGAACTAAGATATGAATATCAACCATATTTGACTCGAAGCATCCCTAGGTGGTTGGGATTCAAAATTGTACAACTGGTTGGGCTGATCCCCCAGGGATTATTTCTATAAACGACTTATTCTGTAGAACTATGCCATGGATATCAACCATATTTGACTCGAAGCATCCCTAGGTGGTGGGGATTCAAAATTGTACAAATGGTTGGGCTGATCCCCCAGGGATTATTTCTATAAACGACTTATTCTGTAGAATTATGCCATGGATATTGATCATATTTGGTCAGAAGCATTCATGGGAGGCAGTGATTCAAAATTGTACAAATGGACCCACCCTTTGAGACATAGTTCCTGGGTCATAACTTTGAAACGGTTGATATCCCCACCCCAGAACTATATATACAAATGCTTGGCATAAATTGACAAAAGTAGTCGTGGTATTAGAATAGACCCTGGGGTCTGACCGAACCCCTAGGGACCTATTTTCTTAGTCACAGCTTGGAAACAGTTGAGATCCCCACCCTATAATCATGCATATATACAATTGCTGAGTATAAAGAGATGAATGTACATATGCTCCCAGGATGGCCTTGGGGTCTGTCCCACCCTTGGAGACTTAACCCCTGGGTCATAACTTCAAAATGGTTAAGATCCTCTCCCAAAAACTATATATACAATTGTTGGGCATAAAGTGACGAATGCAGTCATGATATTAGAATTGACTCCAGGGTCTGCCCCACCCTTGCAGACTTAACCCCTGGGTCATAACTTTAAAACGGTTGAGATCACCACCCCAGTCATGATATTAGAATTGATCCTGGGGTCTGGCCACAACCCTAGGGATCTAGTTTCTGAGTCCCAGTTGGAAACAGTTGAGATCCCCACCCCCAAAAAAATTAATGGGAAACTGTATCTGTAATACAAAGTGTTCATACTTTATATGTTTCTATAAGAGAGTAGTGTACTTCCACTGGAGATCGAACCCACGACTCCAAGCTTCCCAGTCCAACGCATAATCCATTAAGCTAAAGGGAAATTCCCTCTAGCTCGGAGCTAGAAGACGACTGTAATCCAATGTACACTTAAAATCCACCTCATTCCATTCTAGGAGAATGGCAACCACCAAGTGAAGCGGAGATGAAAATTATTAATGCTCGAAGGGAGAGGTCGGATAAAATCAGCAAAATCATGGGCGTTTACCTACTGAAAGGTTACAAGATGCTGGCAATTGTCTGTGATGAATGTTCGGTAAGTATTTATAACTGTTTGACTAAATAAGATTAAATACCTCGTTCTGAAGTTACGTAATGTGTGTTTGCCTAAACCTGACAAAGGGTTACAAGTTTTATAGATAGGGAAAATAATTAATAATATTTTGAGTAGGTTTTCTTTTTCTGGGTCAGCTCTTAGGGTTAGGGAAATTAAAACAACAACAAAATTATTTTAGACCTTGGAATTGGTGACTTTCTTATTTTTGGTGGCCATCTTGAAAGAAAAAGATTGGCCCCATAGCCTAAATTGATCAGTATATAATTCTCAACCAGTATGCGAAGTTTTATGCTTCTATACTAAAATCCACGATTTTCCTGATTTTTGCACCATTCTTGGCAAATATTTGGCAGCCATCTTGATTTTTTTTTATTGGCCCCTTATCCAAAATTGATCGGTATCTCATTCCCTATATGCATGCCAATTGTTATGCTTTTACTACAAAACCCACAATTCTTCTGATTTCTGCACCAATCTGGCGGACTATTGGTTGTAGAAGGTATTTTCATTTTACTTACATATATTATAAGTTAAAATGTTTTGCTCTATGGTGTTGTTTTCATTATTTGCTGTAGACTATTCTGATGGAGACAAAAGCTGGTGACAAATACTGCATAACATGTAAAGAATTAGACACTGACACCGACAAGGACAACCCTGGTAGGTAAACAATCAGCAGGAATTGGAACAAGTAACAAGAAGTGTCCCAAATCCCATTTTGATATTCTGTGTTGTGTTATATATTGGGTTATCAACACTTTCTTATATTCAGAAATAAGGGTATTGAAAGTTTAAATCAGAGTATTATCTTTTTGAAAGTTGACATGATGGTACACAGTGATATGGAGATGTACTTGTGCAATAGGGATTTAAATGTTTCTAATGTCAAGGTCACTGTTACTATAGACCTGGGGGAATGGGGCCTGGTCCTCATCTCGGTATAAAAAAAGCGATCTTTTTTAAAGGGGTCAACCCCAATGCTAAATATCCCATATAATCGACCCATGCAGCAATTATTTTTTTTTCATACTTTGCAACGTTGCCAGACTGCAGACAGTATTGAAAATGAAAAATATTGGTCACTTCATTTAAAACATTGGAAATAAACTTAACCGGTTTCAGAATTTAAAAAAAATTATTTTAACCATACAAAGAATATATATGTCTCATAATTCATAAGCAATAACATTTGGTGAACTGACACTATGAAGCATAACACGAGGAATGTGGAGTGATCTGTTTAGCTCATTTTGGACTCCAGTTTTGACAAAGAACCCAGTGCTGGCATCACAGATCCTAGTAAATCAGTACATATTTGGTATCGAAATGATCAACTACACCTTAGCAGCAGCATTATAATGAAATAAAATCAGCTTAAGATTAAGTTATTGATTTTTTCAGGCTCTTAGTTAAGTATAACTTCATGTCCTGAGCAGGAGTACTTCAAGGAGCTCCAGTTTGGCCAAATCCGACCCTTGGGAGCTGAGACGATCATTTTCAATACTGTCTGCACTCTGGCAACGTTGTTGCAAAATATGAAAAAAATCGCTGCGTGGGCCAAAAATGGACCCCACCTTTGACTTGGTAGTATACTGTGATAGGTGGGACTCGCAGTGACCTTGTCTGTGTATCAATTCTTCAAAGAAGAAGCTACCCAAATCAAGTTAATACTGTTGGCTTTTTCAAATTGTTTAGCTACAGGGCTTGTATGGTATAGGCATTTATTATTTTGTTGATATGACAGACTGATGATCATTTTAAATTGTTTCAGTTTGCATAATGTGTCACAAATTGTTGAACATGTACTAGTAGTTGTATAGTTTTGTGGTAATATTATTGAAATGTTTTTGTTTTCATTGTTCTAGTTGTGAACCCTACAGCAGCTCGGTCCCAGGTTTTTGAAGGCAATCGTTCAACACGGGAAAGCACCTGTTCCTCTTCTGAAGACTTGGTCCAGATATCGTCGTCAATGCCATCCGCACCCTCTCGGCTAGCTTCACCACCATCAACAACAAGGGCAGATGTACATCACGTGGATATACCCCCCATCCTCCAGGGCACAGCTTCCTCCTCCACCCATAGTTTCCCAGCCCATATGGGGCAGATCCAAGGGGAGGCTGTAGACAGCCTGTGTGGTAAGCTACAATGGGCTGCGGAAGAGCTGAGGATAGAGAAAAACCTCCAACGGTGTACACAGCTGTGTGAACTGATAAAGGCTAGTGCTGATGCCATGCATAGTCTCAAGGATTTATGATGGATAAGCATTTTCTGTGTCAGTCACTTTGTGTTTCCTTTTCTACCAACAAAATCTTCATCATCAAAGAACAGAATTATGCTCTACAAGAATTTACTGATGATGAATGGATAGTCTTGGGAAACTAATTTATTCATTTATAATATGTATTCTACAAATACTAATTTTCAATGAACAAAATAAAGCTTTGAATAAAACAGAACACTACAGCTTTTGTCCAACTGATTGTACTACACAAACCTGACTGGTGCAGCACCTATTAGATATTTAACTCTCTGTTGATAGTGATTTACAGGTGTATGTGTAATACAGGCTGTTTCAATGACTCCCTGATATAAATACAGGCTATTTCAATGACTGATATAAACACAGGCTGTTTCAATGACTGATATAAATTCAGGCTGTTTCAATGAATGATATAAATGCAGGCTGTTTCAATGACTGATATAAATACAGTCTGTTTCAATGACTGATATAAATACAGGCTGTTTCCATGAAAGACCTGTAATACAGTCTGTTTCAATGACTCTGATATAAATACAGGCTGTTTCAATGACTGATATAAGCACAGGCTGTTTCAATGACTGATATAAATACAGTCTGTTTCAATGACTGATATAAATACAGGCTGTTTCAATGACTGATATAAGCACAGGCTGTTTCAATGACTGATATAAATACAGTCTGTTTCAATGACTGATATAAATACAGGCTGTTTCCATGAAAGACCTGTAATACAGTCTGTTTCAATGACTCTGATATAAATACAGGCTGTTTCAATGACTGATATAAATTCAGGCTGTTTCAATGACGGATATAAATGTAGGCTGTTTCAATGACTGATATAAATTCAGGCTGTTTCAATGAATGATATAAATGCAGGCTGTTTCAATGACTGATATAAATGCAGGCTGTTTCAATGACTCCCTGATGTTTAATACAGGATGTTTCAACGACTGATATAAATACAGTCTGTTTCAATCACTGATATAAACACAGGCTGTTTCAATGACTGATATAAATTCAGGCTGTTTCAATGAATGATATAAATGCAGGCTGTTTCAATGACTGATATAAATATAGGCTGTTTCAATGACTCCCTGATATAAATATAGGCTGTTTCAATGACATCCTGATATAAATATAGGCTGTTTCAATGACTGATATAAATTCAGGCTGTTTCAATGAATGATATAAATGCAGGCTGTTTCAATGACTGATATAAATACAGTCTGTTTCAATGACTGATATAAATACAGGCTGTTTCAATGACTGATATAAGCACAGGCTGTTTCAATGACTGATATAAATACAGTCTGTTTCAATGACTCTGATATAAATACAGGCTGTTTCAATGACTGATATAAATACAGACTGTTTCAATGACTGATATAAATACAGTCTGTTTCAATGACTGATATAAATACAGGCTGTTTCAATGACTCTGATATAAATGTAGGCTGTTTCAATGACTGATATAAATACAGGCTGTTTCAATGACTGATATAAGCACAGGCTGTTTCAATGACTGATATAAATACAGACTGTTTCAATGACTGATATAAATACAGTCTGTTTCAATGACTCTGATATAAATACAGGCTGTTTCAATGACTGATATAAATATAGGCTGTTTCAATGACTCCCTGATATAAATACAAGCTGTTTCAATGACTCTGATATAAATACAGGCTGTTTCAATGACTGATATAAGCACAGGCTGTTTCAATGACTGATATAAATACAGTCTGTTTCAATGACTGATATAAATACAGGCTGTTTCCATGAAAGACCTGTAATACAGTCTGTTTCAATGACTCTGATATAAATACAGGCTGTTTCAATGACTGATATAAGCACAGGCTGTTTCAATGACTGATATAAATACAGTCTGTTTCAATGACTCTGATATAAATACAGGCTGTTTCAATGACTGATATAAATACAGACTGTTTCAATGACTGATATAAATACAGGCTGTTTCAATGACTCTGATATAAATGTAGGCTGTTTCAATGACTGATATAAATACAGGCTGTTTCAATGACTCTGATATAAATGTAGGCTGTTTCAATGACTGATATAAATACAGGCTGTTTCCATGAAAGACCTGTAATACAGTCTGTTTCAATGACTCTGATATAAATACAGGCTGTTTCAATGACTGATATAAGCACAGGCTGTTTCAATGACTGATATAAATACAGACTGTTTCAATGACTGATATAAATACAGGCTGTTTCCATGAAAGACCTGTAATACAGTCTGTTTCAATGACTCTGATATAAATACAGGCTGTTTCAATGACTCCCTGATATTTAATACAGGCTGTTTCAATGACTGATATAAATTCAGGCTGTTTCAATGACTCCCTGATGTTTAATACAGACTGTTTCAATGACTCCCTGAAATAAATGCAGGCTGTTTCAATGACTGATATGAATACAGGCTGTTTCAATGACTGATATGAATACAGGCTGTTTCAATGACTGATATAAATGCAGGTTGTTTCAATGACTCCCTGATATAAATATAGGCTGTTTCAATGACATCCTGATATAAATATAGGCTGTTTCAATGACTGATATAAATACAGGCTGTTTCCATGAAAGACCTGTAATACAGTCTGTTTCAATGACTCTGATATAAATACAGGCTGTTTCAATGACTGATATAAATACAGGCTGTTTCCATGAAAGACCTGTAATACAGTCTGTTTCAATGACTCTGATATAAATACAGGCTGTTTCAATGACTGATATAAGCACAGGCTGTTTCAATGACTGATATAAATACAGTCTGTTTCAATGACTCTGATATAAATACAGGCTGTTTCAATGACTCCCTAATATAAATACAGGCTGTTTCAATGACTCCCTAATATAAATACAGGCTGTTTCAATGACTCCCTGATATTTAATACAGGCTGTTTCAATGACTGATATAAATATAGGCTGTTTCAATGACTGATATAAATACAGGCTGTTTCCATGAAAGACCTGTAATACAGTCTGTTTCAATGACTCTGATATAAATACAGGCTGTTTCAATGACTCTGATATAAATACAGGCTGTTTCAATGACTCCCTAATATAAATACAGGCTGTTTCAATGACTCCCTAATATAAATACAGGCTGTTTCAATGACTCCCTGATGTTTAATACAGGATGTTTCAACGACTGATATAAATACAGTCTGTTTCAATCACTGATATAAACACAGGCTGTTTCAATGACTGATATAAATTCAGGCTGTTTCAATGAATGATATAAATGCAGGCTGTTTCAATGACTGATATAAATACAGACTGTTTCAATGACTGATATAAATACAGGCTGTTTCAATGACTCTGATATAAATGTAGGCTGTTTTAATGACTGATATAAATACAGGCTGTTTTAATGACTGATATAAATACAGTCTGCAGGCTGTTTCAATGACTCCCTGGTGTGTATTACACAATGAATTCTACTTGAAGTTGTCAAGACATTTTGGAGGTATTAATGTACCCCAGGTTTCACAGTGTAGATGTTTGCCAATACATTGTACATATGCAGTGTCTGATCATTTTCTGATGTCTGCTGAATCATTACTGTATACCTGGATACTATTGCCTTGTCAAACTTTTAATCTTCCTTAGTATATTCCCTCTTTAGGGTGGGCTTAACTCATTCACCCATGAAGCCACATTTGAACTCTTCCAATTCAAAGGTTGGAATAATTTATTTCAGGGGTTAACGAGTTAAAATGCGAAAATTAAACTGGGACAACATTTCTTGGTAAACAGTATCGAATTGGCAGCTGACATATTACTGTGAAATCATATATTTTCGTGGGGCCCTATTTTCGTGCCCCCTCCCATAATGAATTCCTGGATGATAAGTACCCAATCATATGGAGAATTGCTTTGTCAAATTTGTAATTACTTCGTGGACATATGAATTCATAGATGAAGAGTACCCATAAAGTCAATAAATTTTTAAAAAAAAACACGAAAATGAGTGATTTCTCAGTAGTCTGTATCGCCAACGTCCTCTCCAGTAGCCTTGCACATGCATGCATCTAAGGTAAATTATTGAATCAAGGACAACATTAATTTGTGATGTCAATATATATCATTTTAACATGTGCAAGTGTGATCTGTTGATCCAAGAAATGTCCCATAATAATGTAGAATTTATGTGTCGGTAGAAATCACAAAATCACGAAATGCATTTATTGTTTATTTTTCAAGCATTTTCTCGTTTTCCTGACATAATTCGTCATAATGCATTTACGACCATGAATAACTTACATAAGCACACTCTTCCTCATATGACAGTGGATTATATTTACTCCAATGTATTTTTTGGGGTCTAGATATGCCCAACAATACATTTTCAGTCAAAAGATGCACATTGTTGAAGAGCAAAATATGAAGTTGAGCAAACAGCAGGACAAATGCCCAGTAATGTGGGAAATGTGTCCTTAATGTAATATTTCATCAGACAAAGGACTGGTTATGATTTTATTGAAACTTTGAAAAATTGAACAAAAATAAATTGATATTTTTTTCTGATATAATTATTTCCCTTCCAACACGTATACATTGTATAATACATTTAATGGTAATTGTGCACTGTACAGAGTATATACAATACTTACTCCAATAGTTTGAATTATGAAGAATAAACACTACGTGATCTTCAACAATCCAAGGAATTCATAAACGGCCAAGATAACTTAGTCATTCAGCATATGCGAGTCATAATTCCTTTTGTTAAGCGTATGACATATTTATTCTTTTTTATAAACTGACAGGTACAATAACTTATTGGACATATCTATACAAATTTCACTAGTTTAAAGCTAATTGTATATCTTGTGGAAGGTATCTTAAAATACAAAAGACCAGATAATTCTGTATTTTACATCCTCTAAATTCCCTTGCCTACGTTCTCTGTACCCCTGGAATATGTGACAAAATTGAAGGCACGAAGTTAGGTTTTTGATTGGTTTTAGTTATAATCTGGAGATTAGTTTTTGTGAACAAAACATTGTCTCCCCTTGTAAGCCAATACTCTTTCCCCTTTTCTTGCAAAATAAAGTTACACGAATTAAGTCAAGTAACCGTGAATTTGCAAGATTCTTAAATATATTTAGGTTATTAGAGGAACTGCTACTAAAATATATTTCGCAAGTGTGGCTAATATATTTCTTATTACTGAAGACACCATTGAATTTTCTATTTATTACATTTTTAAAGCATGAAACATGAAAATTGTAATGCATTAAAAAGGGCGGGAATCAGATTAATAGTTAGGGCCATATTATAATATCATCACACGTGACACATGGCTGCGCACCCTTTTGAATGGGATACTCTAAGCAATTACGACGTTTTCTGCTATTTTCTGTTATGATTGCTAATAAAAATGTTATTAATTGTATATTTTTGTAAATACTTAAGTGTGTGAACCAAACATTTACCATAGCAACCTCTTATTCTACCGTCGCTTCATTTGAATCTGAACAAAAAATATGTTGCCTTTGAATGCAGCGAATAGAAGATACCGTTATGATTGGCCAATACCAAAAGGTGATATTATCACACCTTGAAAATATCACTTGATAATTGTCACAGTGTGAAAGATATCAGTTTTATGAAGTTGATAGAATCCCATATTTCACTGGCAAAAATGTAATAAATGCAATTACTTACTTAAAAGGTATGATGCGGAAGGTCACAATACCCTAATAGTAAAACTTCAAAGTTTTCACTTATTTTACCTTTGAAATTAAGATAACATTTTCTTCATTATATCTTCAACATTTGAAAGGTTACCGCCCAGACTAAATGTTCCTGAAAAGTTAGCACTTATTTGACCTTTGACTTATAGGTCAAGGTCACAATGACCGATTGACAGTGCACTGCGCATCGTCTTTGATTGATGCAAGTATACTGCAAGTCTCTCAAAATATCTTTTACGGTTTAAAATTTAAGGCCCGGAAAAGATTTTACTAAAAAGTATGTATTTATTTGACCTTTTACATTTTTGGTCAGGCTAGCAGTGTACAGTAGCGCACGGTTGCCATGGGTGACACTTTTATACAATGAATAACCCCTGTAATATTACATGTATCAAAATTTAAAAAAAAAACAGGACTAAAATTGGCATATACATGTGGACTATGTGGGCTTCATAATTTTTCAAAAAAAATTTGGGCATTTAAAAATCTGTGTCTACACAACAAAAGCAAGCTTTTTATGCAGTCTATTTTTGTATTCAGCACATGTGTTAATATTGTGAAAAATCCATCGGAATAACCTATGCTAAAACGTGAGTATTTTTGTTACTGAGTAGGCGATATTTAATTTCAGACAGGTTTTAAGAAACAAAATACTATTGCGGCGGTCAAATATGGGGTTAAAAATCATGTGTTTTTTGATGTGGCAACAATAGTCCCAAATCTGGGGGAAACAGTTTTTGAAAAAAAATGCAGTCTTCTAAACAAAATGTATTCAAAATTTAGTTTATAAATATATATATACATATATGTAGATGTGTTGTGCAGGTTGAATCCGCTATCCATGTTTATCTGAGACATGCCCTTTATTTTTAGGCCATTTCTACTGTACTCTGCTACCCAAGGTTACAGCGATATATGGAAAGTGCATATCTGTGAGGGGATACAATTATACTGCAACCTATTGTTAACAGTTTAAATGTTACGGCCCGGACAAGAGAGTATTAGAAGAACCTATACTAAAAGAATATTTTCCCCTTCAATCGAAAGGGAGAAATAAAACTCAGCAATCACGAGGCTGTTATCTGTCGTATGACGATTAAAAAGACACGTTTTCAAAGCCGGTAAATTTTACCTTTATGCTGCGGCGCGATGTTTTGATGTACATCAAAGAATCTAACTAGTCTACTGTATTATCATCAGAGTAACGCAAACAGAGCCTTCAGTTTTGTCATGACATGTCCCAGGGTCGCAGAGAATGTAAATGTTTACTCTGGAAGTTCGAAGATGGTATTTTAAGATGACCCCGAAATTCGCGGTAATCTTTTTAAACCAACTAACTAAATGACAATTGTGACGATTTTTTTTTCATAATTGTCGTTGTTAAAAGAGAATGATTTTCTCCAGACAATGAATTCTCTAAAGGTACTATTTTAACAAAAAACACCCATGACTAAAGTATTAAAACTATACTCTGCTTCCACAAGCATCGCATCTAAACACTGTCTATATTATTTTTTTATGATGACTAACTCAAAACCGAAGAGACAATATCACTGGTTGCTACTCTGCAGCTATTCATAATCAGTTTAAATTAAAACGAAATGGAATTGTTGGGCTGAGTCATGCATGGAGGTGCCTCTATTCTGTGTAGCTGTTGAGCCTGAAATAGGTTTTGTATAAGCACAAGAGTTCTCCTGAAGATTTCATGCGATCCTTGGTGTCGTCGGTCGTTAGCTTATCCGTGTTTGAAGTATCGAACACTGGCCAGTGAGGTGCTTTGTCCCAAAACTCAGAATGGAAAAAAGGAGTGAACGGGATTAACACTTTGTCATCTGAGGCTTCCCGGAGTTCTTGGCGCCATTGTTCGAGAGGGAGAGGTTTCAGACCCATTCCTTTGAAAATGTCTCTAAACGGAATGGTCTGAGAGTTGAATAAGTGATACACCTGTTCATGATGACCACTTTCGTTGCATATCCTCAGGGAGATCTCAACCATTGCCTTGGCGACAAAATCCACAGGTGTAAGATCGTAAGGAAAATCCATGTCGGGGAATGACCCTAACTGTGCCATACCAATCAAGGTGGACGCAAATAGATCGTTTCTTGGACCTGCACCGTCAACTGAGCTCCCTGATATTCTGGCTGGTCGGAATATAGCTCCACCGGGCAGAAACTCCAGTGCTTGAAGGATCAATTTTTCACTTGCCCACTTACTTTTACCATAACCTCCCTCCAACGTGCATGGGTCATCACAGAATTCGGTTTCGTAGCACATTCGATTAATTGATGTTGTGCCGGAAGAACTATTGGGGAAGAGGAACACACTGAGCGATGACGTCGAGAATATGTATTTTTGTGTGCCCGTGACTGCGAATTTGATGAATTCTTTTGTGCTGTCGACATTTGCAACTTTGTGGTCGGTATATCCAGTATTGAAATTCATCTTGGCGGCGTTCATGAACACAACGTCGATGACGTTACATAGCGCCGTGTAAATATCTGGCGCTATGCCGAGATTTTCCTGTGATAAGTCAGATATCACTACCGCGATTCTACTCCCATATTCAACTTTCCATAAGTTGTACTTTCTGAGATTTTCAATGATCCTACCGAGTCCCCTGGCCTCTGTCGATTCTCGGACCATGCAACATACATGAGCGTTTGTCTGCTCGAGAAGCTCAGACAGAAGGTAGGCGCCTAGGAATCCGGTCACGCCTGACATGAGCGCGTTCCTTGGATATTTCAAGGAGCATTTTTGTACAAACGCTGAGAAGTGACTGAATTTAACAGAGCCACGCCTTGCATGTTGAGGTATGATCAATGGGTCTAGAAGTGAATCCTGTATTATTTTCTGGCGAAGGTCACCAGGATCACTTGATTCGTTTTGAGTACATCTTCGGAGCATGTCTTTCTTTCTCTTGACTACCTCGCTGAACTCCTCTATCGTATCAGCCATGCCTATTTCTGTGAACGACAGCTGAACGTGAAGCTTGTTTTCCAAAGTACGCTGAAGGAGCACCAACTGTAGAGAGGTCCCGCCGAGTTCACTGAAGGATGTCTGTCGGTGAAAATCGTGTATGATCGACTCGTTGAGTTTGAGAATAGCACACCAAAGTTTAGCGATCGTGAGTTGCGTTTTATTTAGATGGCTACCTCCGCCAAGTTTCTTTTGATCGTGTACAGACTCGTCTTTTTGTAGACGTTTCCTGTCAATTTTGCCGTTTAATGTCATTGGAAAGTCGGCCACTTCAATTTTCTTTATAAATGTCGGTATCATGTATTTTGGAAGAGCTTTAGTCAAGTACTCCCGTAACTCCGACAGGTAGACAAACGATGGTGCCACGTACGCTGCTATGCTGACCTCATTTGAGTTGGCACATCTATGAGCTACGGCTACAGCAATCTCCACTTTTGTATGTTGGATAAGTACCTGTTCAATCTCGCTGAGGTCAACACGTTGACCCCTTATCTTGATCATGTCATCCAACCTCCCAATGTAAGTGATGTTTCCATCATTTGATTGAAATGCATGATCCCCCGTCTTGTACAACAGGCAAGTCTTGTCTGTCATTGGATTTTGGACAAATCTGTCAGGGTTAAGGTGTGTTGCATGACCAATGTATCCTTTCGATACTCCAATTCCTCCAGCGTAGATCTCACCGACAACATCAGGAGGAACTGGTTTCATAAAGTCGTCGAAAAGAAACACACACATTCCAGGTATGGCCTTACCAATGGGCAGATCTTGAGTGTCGTCAACATGAACATGGGAAGGTTTGAATTCATAACATGTTGCGCAAACGGTTGTTTCCGTTGGGCCATAGGCGTTGAAGAATTGTGTTGCCTTGTTACCGACAGTCCACTTTAGGGCAGTTCGTAGCGTACACGCCTCTCCAGCGGTCACAACTTTGGTCAGTTTTGGTAGATCGTTTGGACTGTATATGTTAAGGGCAGATGGCGGCAGTGTGATAGTATTCACATCCAGGATGTCCATCGTATTAATGAATTCTTTGCCTAGACGTTCTTTGTCGCTTAGTGTAACAAGTGTTGCACCAGAAAAAAGAGCAGTGAATATTTCAGATATGGTTGCGTCAAATCCGATGGAAGCAAACTGTGCAATCACATCACTACCCTGAATGCCCCAGATCTTGATCTGGGCATTGGCGAGATTGATGACGCCCGAATGGGTAACTCGTACTCCTTTAGGTCTCCCAGTGGAACCTGATGTGTACATGACGTAACAGACATCCTCATCTAACAACGGAATTGTCGCCTCTGAATTACCATTATTGATTTGATGGTTTTGGAAGCCACCATTGTCGCATTTTCCGTTTCTTGCATGAGCAATTTCAATCTCACTATAACGGATATTGTCTTTCCGGACATTGCCAATCTGTACATCAGCGTTTTCAGCGTTGCCATAGTCTTTCGTTGACAACATGCCGTTTTCATTTATTGTTAGTTGTACGAGTATGACTGCATCACGATCGATCTGCACAGCATCTTCTCCTACCGGCGACATTGAAAACCCTTTAGACTTCAAATTGTCACATACTGAGACGGTAGTTAACATGCTGTAGACTCTTGCGTCTCGAAGAGTGAAAGCCAGCCTCTCTTCAGGATAGTCTAGGGGGAGCGGCAGAAAAGCGCGATTGGTTTTCAAAACTCCAAGGATGGAAACAACATATTCCATTGAATTTGGAAGGTGGAGTCCAATGATTCTTTCATCTTTGTTCATTGCTTCAAGGAGAAACGAAATCTTTTTTGCTAAATCGTTACATTCTTTGTAAGTATAACACGTAGTTGATGACCGAAGTGCTGTGCTATTTGGAGTAGTACTACATTGTTTTTCGAAAAAGTCGTCAACTTTTTCAGAAGGTGGTACGAAATCAGGCAGTTGTGGATAAAGCCGTTTCAATTCCTCTTCTGGTACCAGATTGGTCTGGCACAAAGGCTGACACAAGCCGTTTGCAGTATTCCTTAGAAATGTTGGGAAGTGCTGAAGGACATCATAGATGTATTTGAAATCCTGACCAATCTTTTCCTTGTGCATCAAATGCATCTCATTTCCGTCTTCGTTGAACAACAGCAATATGTTGCAGTCATGAAGTACACCTTTTGCAAGGGCAGTTGCAGAGGCGTTGTTGGCAATTTTACCTATCGCGATATTATGGTTAGGTGTTCGCTTTTGTCCACGAATGTCTTGGTACCTATAAAACATATCGACGAGGAACGATTGTGCTTCTCTGTACTTTTTTATCATTTCATAGACGTCGTGCATGACGACATATGTTTTCTGTTGAAGGTCGACGGTAAATACCCCCGGGCAGATGTCGGAGTATAATGGTCTTGCCAGCTCGGGTATACCTGACTTGTCTGCAAGGATACCAAGGGATACATTCGGGTTGCATGTCGTTCGTCCAATGAATGCTACAAATGCTGACATAATAAGTTCACGTGCGTGTGTGCGGAAGGTGTAACCATTCATGTCAGGGACGGGCAGTGGAATAACGATAGCTTTTACCTTGACTGCACTAGATACATCTATGATTTCTGCAACCACATTCATCCTTTGCCGGAAAAACGTCGTTGGTTCATAGATCTTCATTTTCCGTCTCCAAAATGTTTCCCTTTTTCTTATTTGTATCAAGCGTTGTGTGTCAACTGCAAAGTTACTTGATAACTTTTCACCAACAGACATCCCAAGTTCGCGGTATTTTGATGGTGACAGATATGATCCGTCTAACTTTGTAATGGATAGCAAAGCCGAGTTCCCTTGCGTTGTAACAACCAAGGTGTCGTCAACTATATCTGTGATAGTTCCGTGGTGTTTACTCTTTGTATCACAAAGGGAGTTCGACTCTTCGACGTTTGTGATGAGGACGAAATCGCCCGTTGATGTCATAACCTTTGGGCTTCCCAATGAATTATCATGTTTCCCGAACTCGAGTCCCCGTCCAAGGTTGCAGATCATTGTACACGGCGTCTGGAAGCTCAGGACGCCAATGTTAGGCGGAATGTCATACAGACCGTAATACGACCTCCCAGCAGCGAGCTGCTTCGTTCGATTGACACAACCCTGTTTAATCTCCTTGATGAGAATTTGGAAGGTAGCTTTGGCTGCTTCTTGACACTTCAGGTTTAATGTGAATGCCGAATCGTCCGGGTTGATCTTAACAGCTTTGAACTGGAGAATGTCTCCAGTATCAATTCCTGTCTCGATAATGTGCCAGGATATCCCGTGGTCCGATTCGCCGTTGATGATTGCCCAGCTTGTGGCGTGGATTCCAGCGTATCTGGGCAGTGGTGAATCATGATAGTTGACTGAAAATTTTGAAGGTAATTGCAGTACAGAATCAGTCAAAACCCTAGGGTTAGATATGCTGAAGAGATAGTCTATGGGAATATCTCTTAAGGCATTTTCTATATCTGCTCCTCTTTTCCAATGGAGAATTTGCTTCTCATCACAGAAAGTTTTGGCGACTGTTGTATCTGTGAAGACAGCTGAAACAGTGAAGCCGGCATCTACCAAATATTCAAGACAGGACAATAGAAGATTACCTTCCCCTATGGCAGCACAAGGTATGGATTGATCGGAGGCTAGTACAGCAATATCACTTGTGCATGATGTAAGGTCAGGTAGAGTAATCACAGGCATCCTGGTTCAGTATCTGTAACACAGAAATGTGAAACGTTGGTAAGATGTTGAAGGTGTCCTTAGGGTTCATACTCAATTTACAGGAAGTCTGTAAACTGTAGTTAGTTAATATATCTGATAACCTATTTATACAACTTCCATGTAAAACAATTTTTGTTTTTATTTAAGCATTACAAAGCAATCTGTTCCGTGTATTGGTCATATAACACGGAACAGAATTGCAGACAAAATGAATGACGCACATTAATGATTATTTGCCTGCCATCCTGTTCCGTGTTGTTGGAACATAACACGGAACAGAATGCTGTTAATGCTTGCACATGTATATTTACATTTTTTATTTTTACAAATTTTCATTTATAAATTCACAACGCTCTTTTGAATTTGAATTTCGTGGTGTTTGTGTGGGTCAAGAGGTAGAACAACCCATGGATTTGCTCACGGAATGTTGTCTCGTGACTTTCCCCATTAAAATATAGTTCGTTGAAATAAATACAGACATATCGATACTTTTTCCATAATTTAATCAATCAATATATTCAATTAACTTTTTTTAATAGTCTTGCATAAAACGGTTATATTCTTGAATCATAGAGGGTTATTTTGCTTATCGGCTTGCTAGTGCGAAGGGGAATAGCGATCCAGTAGTTAGTCGCACACGTGGATATATGACTACGCTTGTGTTATGGTCTCATAACACGGAACTGGCCTTGGTGAAGTTATATAGTGGCAATGCAGAGCAAATGTAAATATATATAATAAACTGTCTATGAAGATCACCTGCCTATTACTACAAACATGAGCAACCCTGAATGCTACCTCTGCAAAAAACAAACAGCTTTTCTACAAAAACCGCATGTCTATTAAAACTGATTCTACAGACAGATTTGATTAAAGCCCGGCATTTTATAATAGTAATTGCTATAACAGTATGGGATTTCATGACCTTCAAAAATTTGAAAACTTTAATTGATTATTAACTTTTATTCTTTATGAATGAGTATCAGTCGATCATAGATATTCGTATTAACATGGATTATTATGAATAAATATCATTCACATTTTCATGATTTAATCTCATTCATGCATTTAGTCATGAATATATTATATTCATTGTCGAACAAAATCCTCTTATTCATAATTAAATCAAATTGATTCATGAATAAATTCAAAGAGTCAATTTAAAATATATCATAAATGAATAAAATGAGTCATTAACCTAGAACTGAAATGGATTGTATCATAGTTTACACTGCATGTTCCGTTCGTCCATTAAATTTTCATTTCATTGCTATGCTATCCTGCATTTATTTATTTTTGTATTTATGACATATGATACAAATACGATTGTATCCCTTTTAAATACGGAAATACAATACATTTCCAGCACACACACAGGCATACACACAAATGGAGATATTAGCCAGGTGGCATAGGACTAGTAGTTAGGGCCTGATAAGTCAGCTCCTGCGAATTCCTCAATATTGTTTTGATTAATATATATGCTAATTGTATTGACTGTATAAAATTGTATATCTATGTAATGTAAAGCGCTTTAGAGTGACTTATGTTAGCTATATAGGGCGCTATATCAAATGTTGTATATTTTATTGTTTTAAATATCTAAGACTGAGAAAATAAATTGGTCTAAGGTCGCGGGCGCACCAGATGGCTAATGTTGCCATGGTGCCGCGTCATTCAACTTTCAAAAAATATCCAAATGAATTTCGCCTTGCTTACCACATTACAAATTGTGTTGTCACGTAACTAAAAAGGGGTCAAAAAGTAAAATACAATACATTAAGTTCAATATTTAGATGCTTACTTTTCCTGAATATTTCTTCGAATACCAATGCAACGATCATCAAACACATGTTTGAAAGTACTAAAATAGCTAGATAGGTTCGTGTTTCAGGCTTATACTGCAAAGGTCAAGGTTGACCAAGTTAAAATGAAAGGAGTTGTGGTTGGTGAAATATCTGCGCATTTTATTATCCAAGCAGTAATGAGCACTTTTGTCATTAAAAGCCTGTGATTAGTAAAAGGTTGCAAACATGCATTTCATCATCAACAATACTGAAGTATTAAATTTTTAATTGCTTCACGTAATCATATATATTGATATAAATCAACCTATTTGTTTGACGACATTTACATTAAAGCGCTTATTATCACAGGATAGTTCATAAAAGTTTCATATATTTCTGAAGAACTATACATTTAACGTTCCCGATTGACAAATACAGATTGCTTTATATAAAATGCATCATTTTGCAAAATAAAAATCTGAATTTAAAACGTTTTGTATAACAACGCAGCAGTAAAAAAACATGACAACCATTTAAATACAATTGTGGAGCTCCCATCTATGTATGCTATCTTATAAAGAAATTAATCTTTATATTTGCCATGAAATATTCAATAATTTAGTTTCCAATATATATCTTTCCAAGCATATGGGAAACAAATATTTCGTTTAGAAAGAAAAATCTGTAAAATAAACATTTTCTGTATTTCGTGTGTTTTTTTCAATTGAGAACTATAAAATAACAAACATGCTTTGCACAAAATGAAAAAAAAATCACTTCATTGTCAACACGCAATGACAAAATAGTATTCGGTGTTAACACACAAAGATAAACTATGCATCAGAATCAATACACAAGGATTAATAATATATTATGTGCCAATTCACAAAGAAAAAATATATTTGTTTTTAAAACATACGGACAAATATATTTCAGTGTAAAAAAACAATGGTTACTAAAGGCTCAGTCTTACCTTTATGATCGTTTTCTTAATTGGAGAAGTACCATGTTTTCCAACGTGTGAGTTAGTAATCATTTGACATTCTCTCGTCTTATAAATGTTGTCTCCAGTATGGAGAATTTCAAAAATTGCATAATTTGGTCCGAACCTCCCTTTATATACCTCTGGAAAATTTACGCCCTCTGGATTTGACCTTGCAGAACTGGACAGGTGAGTCGATGTAATTCTCTGGACATGACTATCGCCATGAACTGACCGTAATTATATCTTTAGAAAACAACACAACCAACTCATGTAAGGAGAACATTATTGCAATAATGCTTTCTTTACTTCACAAGGTGAAAAAAACATTTTTGACCCTTTGAAACCATGACATCAATGTTTCCCAAAGAATCTTTAGTAATAATTTATTAAGGCAAAATTAAGATATTTTGGAAACAGATTATAATGATTATGTCCCAAACCGCTTAGTGACAATTATGTAAATGTCATTGTCAGAAATTGTACATTGCACTGGTGGATGGGAGGTGACGTGAACCCCAATCCAGAGCGTTATTGATAGGCAGGGGAGTCAGATAAAATAAACAACATAGAAATATATTTCATGATGTTTGTGACATCTTTTTCTGATGAGCCTTTTTGCCATACTAAAGGTAGCTATCTTCGAATAATACTATAGGTAGATAAAAAGTTTGGTAGTGAGGTGACCGTAATTGTCATACTGAAGTTAAATGTTATAGTTTAGAAATGAAGTAATTATGAAGGTCATAATATAGGTAAAAGTAATAGACTTTGGTAGTTAGGTGACCATGATTGTCAAACTGTAGTTAAGTATCGTAAAGTTTGGTAGTGAGGTGACCATTGCTGTCCTTACCGATTTTAAATGTTATGAAGTTTGGTAGTGATGTGACCATTTTTGTGATACTGTAGGTAAATGATATAAAGTTTGGTAGTGAGGTGACCATTATTGTCAAACTGTAGTTAAGTATTGTAAAGTTTGGTAGTGAGGTGACCTTTGCTGTCCTAACCGATTTTAAATGGTAAAGAATATAGAGTTTGGTAGTGAGGTGACCATTATTGTCCTACTGTATGTAAATGTCAAAGAGTTTGGTAGTGAGATGACCATTATTGTCATACTGTATGTAAATGTTAAAGAGTTCGGTAGTGAGGTGACCATTATTGTCCTACTGTAAGTAAATGATATAGAGATTGGTAGTGAGGTGACCATTATTGTCATACTGGATATAAATGTTAAAGAGTTTGGTAGTGATGTGACCATTATTGTCATACTGTATGTAAATGATATAGAGTTTGGTAGTGAGATGACCATTATTGTCATACCGTATCTAAATAATATTGAGTTTGGTAGTGAGGTGACCATTATTGTCATACCGTATCTAAATAATATAGAGTTTGGTATAGTGAGGTGACCAGATATTTTTCAGTCGAGAGCTAAATATGCAGTAATGTTGCTAGTATTGTCGATGTTAATAAGTAGAACAACGAGATTACTATCCGTCAGACCTTTACGTTGCAAGGTTATATTATGCTCAGATCCTTATACTTATCGCGGAGGTTTGATATGCAATCAAAAGAGTTCAAAAATACGTAAATTGTTTTCACATTGATTACATTTTAAACCTTAGTTATCGAACATAAATTTGATGCCTAAACATAACAGTGATATGTATTAACATTAAACATACACACATACACTCATACATACACACACCCATACACAAATACACACACACACATACACATACACAAATACACACATACACACACACGCATACACACATACACATACACTCATACATACATACACACACTCATACACACATACACTCATACATACATACATACACTCATACACACATACACTCATACATACATACACTCATACATACATACATACACTCATACACACATACACACATATATACACTCATACATACATACATACATACATACATACACTTATACATACATACATACACTCATACACACATAACTTATACATACACACACATATACACACACACACACACATACACGCATACACACATACACATACACTCATACTACATTCACACACTCATACACACATACACTCATACATACATACATACGCTCATACACACATACACTCATACATACATACACTCATGCATACATACATACATACATACATACATACATACATACATACATACATACATACATACANCATACACACATACA